GTTGTTAATAATGATTTTCTATGCTAGGATTAGGTTTAAAAAATTAAAAATAGCTTAGATATGAATAAATTTTAGTATTAAAAATCCGAGTTTAAAAATTAAAAATCCAAATTTTACATAAAAGCATAAATAAAATCAAGTTATTTATTTCGTGTTTGAATAAAGTTGTCAGAGTGATAACATTGGAAGAAAAATAATAAAATATTAAATAAGGTATGGTCAAATTTGTTTACTTGGCTGAAAGTTAAAAATTATTTTTATTTAAATTGTATAACATATTATTAATTAGTCTCCAATGCTGTAACTTTACCTCCGTTAGTAAAATCCCGACTGACTGAAACGCGGCGCGACACGAGGCATCGCCGCATCACACAGCAGTGGCGCTGTCCAAGGCCGAGTCAAGTTGCAGCTTTTTGATATAGCGGAATTCGAAACAGCGATATCGATTACTGTGCGCAGACAATACGTTAAATGCGATCACAAACGGCGGAGTTAGGTTATGTTGTTGGTAGCAGCTTTTTTTAAAACCGGGTAACAGTGATAGCTGCTTCAGCAAAATAACTGTTAAAAAATAGCAGCTTACGCGATAGCAACCCACCTCTACCTCAAAGCGCAGTCTATCGTTAGCGTGCATAATAGCTGCAGTGAAATTTTTACTAAAATAATTAATGGGAAGTGTGCCAGCTCTTCTTCCAATACTCACCTTACATATGTTATTATATAGGTAATTATGCAATAAACTTGGCTTACAACAAAACAGCAAAAATGTTAATAAAAACTTTTTGTTGTATTTTGCAATAACCAACAATTTATTTATATATTTATTTATTTTTATTGGTGTAGCCAAACCTACCATTTCTCTTTTAAGTCTTATTGACTCTTCCAGAAGACTCCCAAATATTGCTATTATTCTGACTTACTAAGACTTATTCAGAGTAGTAATCATTATTCTGACTTTTTCCAAGTTAATAATTCTTATTCGGAGTTTTTAAGAGAAAATAAGACTTTTAAAACCCTTATTTCTACTTATTAAAACTTTTTCAGAGACAAATTTCCACAAGGGAATGTTTATTACTTAAAAAAAAATATGTGCTAATAACATAAAAAAAATTAAACCAGGACCAAATCTGCAAAACCAGGACAAAACCAGTACATAATTGAAACCAAACACATTAGCAAAAACCAGAACCTGTCCTGGGAAAACCAGGATGGTTGGTCATCTTATGCAACAGGCAATAAAAATCGAGTAGGACCGATATTTAGAAACGTCGCTCGCGTATGCATTTATGCAAAAGTATTGCTTATTGCAGCCTGTAATCCGTCTTACCACTGGTAGGTACTGGGAGGAGAAGAGATATAATTCTTAACAGTCGTTTTAGATCAAAGGATGACAAGCCTAATTGGAACACAGAATCACACATAAGTTGATCAGCGAACTAAGGTCAGACCCAGTGCTGGGCCTGCCATCCAGTAGCATCATCAGCAGATACCACTTCGGAAAAAACTTTAATAAATATTAATTATTATAATTATTACCAGGCAGGAAGGAGTAGAACAAAGGCCAATTGGGTTAACCCTTAACATGCCTCCAAGACCGACTTAGGAAGAGGAGCGGGTATCCACAACATACCTCTAAGTCTGAGCAAGCTGATTATGGTGTTCCAGACCGAAACAATAGCCATACACTACTGTGCTAGACGCGTTAAGCAGCACTAAAGAAAATATATGCCATGGAAGTAAGCTCAAAATTTTGAACTGTATTTGAACTGCGAATTTGTCCTACCATTTTTTAATTTTGAACAATTGTGCGAATTTGTCCTTGCATTTTTTAATTTTAAACTACTGTGCGAATTTGTCCTTGCAATTTTGAACTATTGTGCAAATTTGTCCTACCATTTTGTACAATTAGCTTTCCAAAATAGGAGGGCACCAGTATTCTGTTTATTTTTTGTTTAGTTCGGTTTCATAATTATAATTCATTCAATAATGATAAATATTCATTCATTCCATAATCAAATGATATACTTTACAATAAATATAATTTCAATTGTAACAAATTAATTTAATAAATAAAAACCGCATTAAAAAATATTCCTAAGATTAGACTTTTTTCCTTTTGATTTCTGTAGACCCTACATCTAATAAACAAAATGGTCATAATATCAACAAGCCAAACCAGGAGATTGCTTTGTTCAGTTTGAGGAATACTCATTTTTAATATAAAAACCCTTTTGAAGAAGAATATTTTAACTTTTGTTGCTACATACATACCTACCTAAATATTTTTTTTTACAATCACGTGTGATTGATTTTTTTTTTATTAAATGAAATTTGAAACCCTAAATAAAAAATATTTGTTTGAGTTAAAACGGTTTTATTACATTTCTTTAATATTTATTAATTGCACAATAAAATAAAACTTACAAGGGAAATACTAAGCAAACAATCTCTTAAATTTTAATGCAGATCATTCAAATAAATACAAGCGAATTATTTTTTTTATGATTGAAACATAAGAAAATAATTCAGCACAACAAAAGGTTTTATTCACTAAATTTATGAAATAAATTAAGGAATACTTCAATAAAACAATTTTATATGAAACCCCTGCCCAATTTTTTATAACCTATAGTTTATCATTATGCATTGGCAAAAATTTAAGAGTTGTCAATTATACACGAGTTTTAATTGTTAATTAATTATTTACAAATAAATAATTTTAAAAATATTATGTACAGATTATATTACATATTTTAATAATTATTCAATTCAATCCATCTTTGGCGCAGTCTTAACTCTTAAATTTTTGTTTAACAGCATATTATCAGAGCTAAGTTGTTCTTGAAATATTAGAACATTAGCTCAAATGAAAAAATTAATAATAAATAATATTTTAACTGTACACCTAATAGTTTAATCAAGTAATATAAAATTTATAATATTACATAGAAGCATTTTATGCATTTTGATATAGAAAAATATATATTCAGTTCAGTGGACACTTTTGAATCAAAAGTTTTGATCCAGTCCAATAAAGACCAATGCTTTGTTACCGCAAAAGTATATATAATATATAATTTGAGTAAGGTATGTTTCCTTACTTAATGTAAAAGTTTTATATAATATAACATAATTTAAGAAGGGCATATTCAAATTTTAAAGTAAATTAAATGTATACAGTGTTGCTAAATGTAGGAAAACAGTTTACTCAAAACGGGATTTTGTACGTTTTTTGTTAGTATTTTTTTTTAATCTTTAAAAATATATGCTTGTTTTTGCAATTTGCAATTTTTTTAAATTAATATTCTGTTATTGGAGGGAACCTATCTTAAAGATTGTCAACACTGGACTTAAAAGAAACCCAATTTGTATATGAGCAGTAGATCCAGTTTTTAAAATCAGGATTATTTACTTTGTATAGACCTCAAAAAACTATTAATTGAACAAAAAAAGTATTAATTTTGAAATAGTCCTGAAAAGATTATTAAAAAATATATTTTTAAGTATTTGCATATCAAAATAATTTTTCCCTTAATCCCGAAAATACATGGTTAATTATTTAACTATTAACAACTTTTTAAAGGAAATAAACTAAATTACAAATTTGTAAAAAATCTGGAAAAATATTGAATGAGTAATTTAGAAAAATACATACATCTTAATGTGAACAAATGGGCCAACAGATACATAATATATGTTATCTCTACAAGGACAAGAAAGGTTGGGAAAAAGTTAAAACATAGTTTTTTATATGAACTTATGCTCTATGGGATTTTGTTTCAAGATACAGGGTGTTAAAATTTTTCATCTTTATTTTTTTAAAGAAAACAAAATTGTTTTATTTTCAAAGCTTATTCTGGCACTATCAAAGATATACAAGGTGCACCAAGTATCCTTCTTCTCTATGGGCATTTTTTTATTTAAAGAGCTACAATGTCAGTTAAATTAAAGAAAAGTTGCAAAATTACAAGCCTATTAACGTGAAATTTATTAATTGAAAAAAAAGCCAGTTGTTTTCAAAATATTTGAAAAAAACGAAAAACCTTTTAAAACCAAAAATCGTTTTAACTTTCTCATTCCTGGGAATTTTGAAACATAGTACATCTACATTTTTATCCAATTTTTTTGCTACTATGTTTTGAGTTACCAACACTATCTTTTATTTTAATGACTGCCATAACTTATGTGGTTTGATACATCATCGGATTCCCTGATTTTTACCATGTAAAATTGGCATTGCAATATGGCAGTCATAGGAAAAACAAACGATGTTAGTGGTATCTCAAAATCTGGTAGGCAAAAAAACAAATTGAATGACAATGTAGATAAATGTGTATGTTTACATGTAAAAATTACTTTCTTTGAAAATTCCCAGGAATAATGAAGTTATAACGATTTTTGGTTTTGAAAGTTTTTTTCAAATTATTTAAGAACCGCTGATTTTTCTTCCAATTTATAAATTTTATTTATTACGCAACTTTTGTTTGGCTTGAAGCGCCTTAAATAAAAAAATACCCATACATAGAGGGATACTTGCACCCTGTATAGCATACTTGATTATGTTCCTGCTACCTTTATTTATCTGTATAAGCTGTGAAAAAAGTGGTATTTACAATAGGTTTAATTACAGGAAAACCGAGAGACTAAAAGAAAACGGAAATTTGGTTTAAAATAAAAACCAAATTTAAAAAAATATGTTTTCCAGTCGCGTACCATAAAACCCAACAACAATATGCGTATGTACCTCACTGGTAACCTACAAAGTATTTTTTTTTTAATTTTACCATGACATTGGCAATAAAGCCATAGCTAATATTTTGCAGCCATATCTTGAAACGTTCCAGTTATTAATTAAAAACATTTTGGTTAAAAATTGGAATGTAACTTGGAAATGAATACCTGTACAGCATAACTTGATATAAAAAAACTTTTATTTTTTACTAAGGAATCCTCATTACATTTTGATGAAATTTACTGCCCAACAGGCTAACCTAAAAAAACTAACAGGAAAATATTTTGACCACCTTATTAACGGGCCTATTGCAAATAGGACATCTTTTCGTGGTGTTCAGCGTTTTCTTAGCGCATTTATAGCAACAGCAGACATGTGCTATGTTAGTGTGCAAGAATATACCATCTTTTGGTGCGCTGTGACAAAACATGCACAAATCTGAATCGTTCGCATTTGACCTGCTCGAATTGTAGCCTTTTTCCGAGTCGTTTTCCGCTACTTTGTAATCGTTTTCCGATACTACATCCGATTTGGTATCTAAAGTAACGCTTTCGAGCGATGATGAACTACCACCACTATTTTCCGATGAAGATATGGAACTAGATGTTCCACTACCACTACCTATCCCCGATGTCGAAGACGCTGTTAAATTGGAAGTTCCGGCATCTTCCGTGCCTATTTCCGAGAGTTTTGTCTCCTCTTTCAAAGTAACACTTTCGAGGGAAGACGTACTACAACCATTTACTGCAGACGTCGTCGTAGACGAAGTTAAACTGGAACTTGACGTACCTTGTGATAGATGATAGTGCGGCACCACGATGCGATCCAAATCCAATTGTGGGCATTCTTGACTTGATCCGATGCCTGAGTCCTGCGACATTTGCGAGAGTCCGCTTAAACAGGAACGTAACGTGTCCAGTTTGACCGGCGGTTCACGGCGGTTTTTCGACGATTTCTTCCTTCTTCTGAAGCCTTTAGGTCTTGGCGGGAAATACTTCTTACGGTCCTATTGATAAGATAAGTTTGGGTTAATGATCACGTTATTAGTTTATTAGATGAACTTATATAAACCCAAAACCCAAGATGTTTAACGGCAATTTACCTACCTAACTAGTTAGCCCTAAGTGTTAATGCAAAAAGCTAAAATGTTCAAAAACATGATTAACATGATTAGTTTAAAATGGTGCTCAAATGTGATAATCTAAAAAAGTTTTAAATATTGAATGGGACATTTTAACTAGGGGTGTGCGAATAGCGTTCGAATCGAATCGAATCGAATAGTACTATTCGATTCGAAATTCGAATCGAATAATTCGAATTTACGAATTATTCGAAAAATTCGAATTATTCGAAAATTTTCGAATTATTCGTTATTTTTCGAATTATTCGTTATTTTTCGAATAATTTGAATTTTTCAAAAAGTTCGTTTCTGTTTTAATTAATTATGTAATATTCCTAATAATTTGTAAATTTAAAGAAGTAGGTAATTCAAAGTTTCCGAGTAATTTGTGAATTATATTCCATAATAAGTTAATTTATTACTCAAAATATTACTAATATTATTATTGTAAGACTTTTTCTTGAATTTTTTAACTAATTAATTCAATTCAAAAAGAGTATCTTACTCTTTTTATATCAGCATTCGGTTATTTACGGCATTTACCGGTTTCTAAGGATTCATACTAAAGTAACTTCACATAAATGGAGCTAACTTCAAATCAATGTCGATAAAAACGATCAGCTGAGCAGAAGAATACTGTTAATGCAAAGACGCTTTCTCTAAACAAGTTTAAGTCAGGCATGCCCAATTCGGCCCGTACGGGCATTTCGCCCGGCCGGGCACGTCGCGGGCCCGCGCGGGCCATGCATGGTGTGCTATGACAGCTAGGAGAAGCGTCAAAGTGACAGTACCGAGCGTAACGATCTCTGACGATTTGTTGGTTTATTATTATGAATCCTGAAATAATTATTATCGACGATACCGAAATTCGAAAACGTAGGAGTTTATTATTCAATAAAAACTGGGAATATCTTTATTTGTGTAAATTGCATGGCGGAGAATCCCAATGACTTATTTGCAAAAAACATGTCATTTGCAAAACTTATAAAAATACAAAAAGAATAAAGAAACCTAAATTTTCATATAAACCATATATCTATATAGGTAGGTATATAGACCATATAGACCATATATCTATATAGGTAGGTATATAGATATATAATTATTTTCGAATTATTCGAAAATTTTCGAATAATTCGAAAATTTTCGAATAATTCGTGGATTTTTCGAATGATTCGAAATTTTCGAATAATTCGCTAATTCGAATTATTCGATTCGAATTTCGAATCGAATAATAATATTCGATTCGATACGAATTATTCGTAAATTCGAATTATTCGCACACCCCTAATTTTAACATAATATTTAGTTGTTGTACCATATAATTTTTAAATCAATTAGAATAGATTAACTAATTTCAAAAACATACTAGATATGCAAAATGTTTGTATAGTATTTAAAAGTTAAGGCGGGAAGGGGTGTTCCATTGGCATCTACAACACATTAAGGCCCAGTTGTATAACAGTTGGTTAACAGCTGATTAGCTGATTAACTCTTAAATTTAATTTAATTTAATGTTTAGCGGTGCTCCGTGACAGACAAAGTGTACCACACTTAGATAATAACTAAGTGTAGTACACTTTGTCAGTAACGGAGCACCGCTAAACATTAAATTAAATTCAAGAGTTAATCAGCTAATCAGCTGTTAACCAACTGTTATACAACTGGGCCTAAATGTTATAATTTTTACATTTTGTTTGAGTGCAATACTTAATTTGAGTTTGGTGTGTTTCTGAAATTAGTGACCAGTAATTAATTTGAAATAAAAACTCAACACACCTTATAGCAAGAATTGCACAATTGGAAACATTTGTAAGCCTTGCGCATCTTACATTTTCTGCAGCTCTGTATAAAATAAAATAATTTTAATAAATTATCTCAGCAAAATCGCTTTTCTGTTTTCTTTTATGATTTATTTTTTCTTTCAATAACATGAAAATTGGGTCAATTTTTGGGCATTTGTTTTGTAGCCACTGTTTTCTTTGAATCTGATCTATCTAATAAAACATGTGGTGGGCAATTGCGTTGCAGTAAAGAGAAAACTGTACAGGAAATATCTGTAAATCCAGACCCAAATTTTAAAAAAGTTATGACTAAAGATATATAAAAATGGTTCATGAATATTAACAAAAACACCGCTCTAGGTAAGGACAAAATAATACATGAGAATTTCATGATGAAGTAGTAAAAAACTACAAAATTAATGAGCGCATAATAAAAATTTAAAATGTTTGTCTTAATCATGCCTTTAATAGTTAGAAATGGAAAAACGAAGTAATAATTACAATTCTATAAACTAACTCTGACCACAGTAAACTCAAGAACTAGAGATCTATAACTCTTGCCAGTTTTGGTAAAAATTTAGAAAAAAAAAATTAAAAACCAAATTGACAATGCTATAGGTAAAGATATTCTCAATTTTCAATTTGGATTCAAAACTAACACCTCCACAACACATCCTCTAACAATCATAATAGACAAAAACAGCAGGGTTATTTTTAGTTATTAAAAAAGTGTTTGGCAGCTTATGGTAGAAATGACTTGCATTTAAACTGCACAAACAATCTTATAAACATAATTAATGAAAAAAGATCATAGGTAATCAAAATTAAACAAAAAACCTCAAAAACATTTATAGCAAGGTTCCCCCTTTGGGAGCATTCATTAATTACGTGAGGCAATTTTGGCGATTTTTCGACCCCCCCCTTAGTGAGATGTAAGATTTTGCTCGACCCCTCCCCCCTCCCTTAATCTCACGTGAGATTTTTTAAAATGCATAGTTTTAATGTAAATAAGTTAATCTGTGCTTGATTCCATTAGATTTATTTAAAAAACAATTTGCATTAAATTTTTTACTTAATTTAACCCATTTTTCTCGCAATTTTACACTGTTTCTTTCGAAAAGATCAACCCAATAAAATTACAATTTATATAATTTAACCACACTCCCAAGCCCAAATACTCAAAACTAATTCTTAACAACACTGAAATCCTCAAAAACAACCTTGACATCCAACTGAACAACAAAGTAAACCTGAAACACTACACACAGACGGCAAAGAAAAAACAAGTCAGAGCAAAACACTTTAAAGCACTATAGTGCTAATTATAATTTATAAAGGGGGACAAAATACAAGCCAGAGCAAAACACTTTAGAGCACTAACATACAAAGGAGATGGGATAAGCACAAATGTTGCCTGCAATACCTAAGACCATTTGCAGACCCATTTTAGAATATGGTTGGTCAATTTTCACTAATGCTCGAAACTCTACAATAAAAAACATTCAAGTGGGGGAGACGTCAGCTTTAGGATCCTTACCAGAATATGCAACTCTAAAAAATGTGTTTATCGAAGTTGTTAAAATTTGTTGTTAATTAAAGTCGTTGATTTAAGGACTTTCTTAGCAACTAATTACTTAAGTAAGTGAATCGGCCTGAATCTTGATAAATTAACGATTACTGCCTCATCGTATTAATTTAATACATTTCATCGTAAAAATACGGTATTTAACAATATAACAACAATTATAAAAGCTGTTGGAAGATGCAACATATTTCGTTCGTGTTCGGGATTCATTTGGGTCACCCTTAGACGCTTGTTTAAAATAGGTTGATTAATGCCACGTTAGTTCTATCTGAAATTGCTTTATTTAGCCGGTAGAGGGCGTCAAAGATTAAACAATTTTTGGGTTTTCCCAAATTTAATAAAAACGTGCTAATTGATTTTAGTGATTTTTTGTTTATAATACTATAAAATGACGTTTTCTAGTAGTAGTGACTGGCTATAAATAAGCAGGAGTGATATAAATGTAAAGTCATGTAACATATTATGTAAAAATTCCTTCTGATTTTTTACTCCATTTAAAAAGTGATAAATAAATAACAGTATAAAACGATGTATTTTAATTAACAAATTAATTCTTTATTACATAGTAAAGTATCATTAAAAATTAAAAACACCATAAAAAGTAAAAAGTAACAATATAAATTGTTTATTTGTTGTTATAATGGCAAAATTAAGGTTTAAAACTGTCATATTATTGGTTTCTTAAGAGCAGCACGAAATTTTAAATGGCAATTTTAAAGTGGTAAAAAAATTGTTTTTTTAGTTTTCCATAAAAATTATACTGTAATAATCGATTTTGAAGCTATCAACATGATCCCCTTTGGTTGCTTAAGTTTAAAAACTAACTTTTAAAAGAATCTATGAAAAATAACACTTGTGTGATATTTTCCACAGATTTTTCATAGATTATTTTAAAAATTCGTTTCCAAACTTAAAAAACAAAATAGGATAATGTTGATAGCTTAAAAATTGATTATTTTGTTTATTTATATAAAATAAAAAAAATGGGGTATAAAAACAAATGGCTCAAAATTTCTCAACTGTGCCACTTAAAAATTGATGGCCTCATTTTTCATTGATTAATACGGTTTTCAATCGGTTTTATTAATTTTTAATTGTTTAAAAAAATAGTTTTATTTTTTTAGAAAAAGGTTTGCCACTAACAACAAATTTTTTTATCGAAAAGTATATTTTTCAACGAAAATTTTTATATAAAAAATGTTAAGTTTTGATGAACCGTTTGGGAGTTATCAATTTTTGAAAAAAAAAATGTAATTATTAATAAGTATTCTAAAAATCGATTTTTTGCAAAAAAAATTTAGGAAAGTTTACCCCTAAACAGATTGAAAACCGATGAAAAATGAGACAATCAATTTTCAATTGGCACACTTTTTATTGAAATCTCTATTGTAAAAAAAACTGAAATTATTTTTAAATGTGACTAATGCGTCACAAAATCAAATTTTAAATTTTGAAGGAAACTCTTCAAATGGAGATACTACCTTAAAGTTGAGATTTTGTCAATTTTGTCAATTTTTGGGCAAATTATTAATTGCCATAGCAACAAGATCACTCAAAAATTATAGTCAAATATTTTTTTACAGTTATGCAATAAAAAAAATTCACGAAATAAAAACTTCTAAATACATTCATTTACCTAACAAAAATACCTGGGTTAGATAAAAAAATCAAAAGAAATGTTTACATTTGACATCACATTTATATCACTTCTGCTTATTAATAGCAGTGTATCTACTAATAAACATCATTTTATAGTGTACACTAAAAATCAATAAAATCAGTTTTTGTTTTCAATAAATTTGAGAAAACCCAGAAGAATGTTAATTGTTAACCCCCTCTAAAGGCGAAATGAAAACATTTTGTATTTAACTAATTTAACTTAAATCAACCTATTCTCCAGGAGTCATCAAAGGTTGTACAGATATTTTAAGCAATGTATATTTATAGGTTTTAAAAATAAATCTTCACTTTAACTTTTAAAATCTTGAAAAAAAATTAAACATACTGAAATTTCATAAATAAAAACAGGTAGGTAAATTTAGATGCACTTATTTTTTTAATATTTCTTTTCAAAAACTTTAATTAAAAGAACAAAAACCTTTTGTGGCATAGTGGAGTATTTTTTGTTTAATTTAATACTTTTCTATTTTAAAGAGTTTTAAACTATATTTTTCAATTTAATATTAGCATAAGTTACCTAAATACTTCACAATTATAGTAAAGAAATCACCAAAATAAAATAAAAAAATTCTTACCAAACATCCCTCGATAATAGAAACCCTAGCAAATTATGGAATGGTTTTACCTGATAAGTCCCTAACAATCTTCATTTGATAAACTTTTTACAATATTAATACTTTAGATAGGATAGTCCTTCCTTCATTTTGCAATTTAATTTTAACTATTGCACTATTCAACTTAAGTTCTTAAGGAGTTCATGGATCACAACACAAAACTGACTAACACTATTTTATACCTAGTCTCTATTGAACTTGCATTGCAATATATTTTTGTTCAACTCAAGGGAAAGTTGGATGAATTACAATATATTGCACTGGCTGGCAAATTATTTATTTATTTGAAAAATGTGTAGGTACTATTAAACTACACTGATGAAATAAGATTGGAAATATCTTGGAAACAAATTATATTGTATTGCATATAAAAAACAAAGTTGCTTCATGAAGGTTTCTTTTATATTATAAGAAATATTAATTTAAGCAAGATAAATTAATGCATTACATCGTTAATATATTTTTTTTAAATATATTATTGTACTGTAATGTACAAAGATATAAAGAAAAAATAAAATCCTGGTATTTCATGATTGTGTAATCGACATAAATTTATATAAGTTGATAAGATAAGTAATGGATTAAAGAAAGATTATTTTGAAAAACACAAGTGGAAAAATAAAGGTCATCCAGAAATATAGGGGGTTCTTTGCCAGCCAGCACATGCAAATTCTTCAGTCTATTGAAACCAATATATACCTGAAAACATTTTTCGCAGTATCTATACAGAGGGTTATTATTCTCAAACTTGCACTGTATACAAGTGGAAAATGACCTTGTAAAAGATGATTCTATGCTGCTGCTGTTGTCTGAATCTTCTGAATCCGTAATGTCTATGGAGTCATCCCAAACCACAGAAGCTACAGCAGCTACTGCCATCATCATGTCCTGAAAAAATTAGAGAGTTAAATAGAGTTTTTGCAAATATCTTTATATCCATCAGTAAGTAGTGTAAGCACAATACCAAACATTTGAATACGAACAAGAAAAAACTGCAAACTGAATTTTTTTCTTCTTACCTCTGAACCTGTGGAAGAACAACTTAAGTAATTGTCTGCCTCTGATAGGCTAGCAACTTCATATTCAATTTCTACCTCATATTCGTCCTTATTGCTGCTGCAATCTGATTTTGTATCAGTGTCTGAAGTATCATGTATGACGTCTGAAATTAATTTAATTAACAGCTGTCCCAGACCAAACATGGGTATAAATCCTACCAGTATCCCTATCTTGAACACTCCAAACACTTTCAGTATCTTCTGTGTCTTCAGAGCATCTTGAGCTTTCACTAGCCAATCGATAATAATTTAATCGGGGCCTTTTAATGTCCCTTAATGTAAGAGAATGGGAGTCATCCTCTAGGGATCTTTTTCTCCAAGAAGCTGGAAACAATGCCATAGCTCATTAAAACAGTAATTTTACTAGCCAAAATCGTTATAAAACAATTACACTTTTGTGGTCTGTTATCACAAGTTCCTAACATGTGTTTACAGGGGATGCTTTAACGGTATTATATTTGGGATGGATCTCAAACTATTACTATTTTTGTAATAATGAATAGAACACAACTTTAATGCTAAAATAAGCTAAACTAAATAAAACATACCACTCTTTTCTTGAATGGCCGTCATTTTACTATTACTTAAAATCCTAACTCGTACGAACTTGCGTACCTTTACCACGAAAACAATGTGGATGTTGCCACATGTTGCAATTTTAGTTTTCAAAAATATTTTAATATAGATTTAAAAAACAATTTAAACTAATAAATATAATTAAAATATATATTTTTTATTATTTTAATTATTTATTTAAAATTAGAGTAATATTCTGCAATCAATATTAAAAATATTTTACACCTGGCAACATGGTGTTATTATCCGGAAATTATTCACACAGAACATAAGAGAATTAAAAGCGCCGTAGTCAAAAGTGGCAACAAGCATTGGTTGATTTTTAAATCTAGCAGCCTTGGAAAACCGAGTTGTTTTTTTCGGCGGGAAATTTGAATGATTGGCTATTTGAATTTTTATTTAAAACAAGGAAATATAACCGAAAATTGTTTAAATTTTATATTTTTTTGATTTTAAAAGGATTATATACGTAATATTGTCCATTAAAAATCAAAAAATGTAAAATTTCGACAATTTTCGGTTATTTTCCACTAATTAAGTGGAAAAACACACATTTTTGTTTTTTTTAATAAATATATTTAACAAAATATACACTTAATTCAATTTTAAATTAAAGTATAACTAACAAATAATATTTAAATGAGGAGAAATTCAAAGTTAATTATTCTATAACTTTTAGTGATATTTAAAAAAAGGTTTATCAAACATGTATAATAATTTATAATTATTTAGGTATAATTTATCAAAAAGTATGACATTAAATTGATAATTACCCTCTTATATATGCCTACAAGACAATTATCACTTGATTACAGCGATAATGTTCAGAAATTTTAATTTTGTGTCACATAATAACAATTTTTATAGGTTTTTTAAGATTTCTTAATAAAAATGCAAAGGTTTATAACCAAATTAACTCTAAAACATATTACAAACCATCAAAATATTCTTGATAAACAATAGTTCAATACTTATTGGTCCTTATTAGAAAACAACCTTTTAAAACAGTTCGAGTATATTATATAATTAAAATTATTTTAACTTTGAATATGTAATTCATAAAAATAAATAATTTTGTAATACATACTGACTTATTGTATACCTATAGGTATTTCCAAATTTCTTTATTGGAATAAACCAAAAGGCTTATGCCTAAAATGTTGAATGCCATAATTAGACTTATTACAAACCATACTCTTATAATTTTTAGGAATTATAATTTGTTTTTAAAATAAGCACAATACTGTAGTTTTGTAAAATATAGAATTTTTGGCAAAAAGGAATTCCTACTTATCCAAAAATTAAATTACATTCTTTGGAATATTTAATTTTTAGTAAAATTGGTTTAATTAAAATTAATAATCAATAGAACCACTTAAATCTCAATGTTAAAAATATTGTTATTATGTATTTGGCAAAATTAAAATCTTTATGTATGATTTAACTTTCTGGTCAATATTAAGTATTAATTGTCTTTTTTCTTGTTCATGATTCATGGATTGAACCTGCGTCTTTTTCTTGATTCAATGAAGAATATTCAACTGCAATTAATATTTTCTATGTTCTTTTGCAAAGAAGTTTGATAAATTCAAGTCCTGTCTGCTTCTTCCATTAACACAAACCCAAACCTGAAATCAATACCAATTTTAAAATCAATTTAAATTGTAAAACAATTAATATTACCTAATAATTTTTAAAATAAAATAAAAATAATGTATCAATATTTATGCTACTTATTTATGCTAAATGTAATTGTTTTACCAGCATAAGAATAATTGAATGGTTTATTGTAAAAACAAGCTAAGTAACTAACTAAATATAATTTTGTTTATTTTTTAATTTAAAAATCTTATAAAAACTAATAATGGTTAACTTGTGCTGTTTTAACATGAAAATATCCTTTTTTAATATCCTAATAAAAATCCTAAATAAAATATTTCTGCCTCAAAATAATAATTTAAAGCAGAAGTGTATGTAATATAAAAATGTCAGATTGCTTGTTTTAACAATAAACAATTTAATTATATTTGGAGTAAATTCTAAAAGTGTACTTTCTTTAATGGTCAGGCTTTTACTTTTTTTTATATTTGGATTGTAACTATGGATGTGTGAATATTGAATTCAAGAATTATTTGAATAGTTTGAATGTTTCAAATTTTTAAATGGTTCAATTAGAAAGTTAAAATTTTTCAATAGTAATTGAAGAAATGGAACATTTAAATTGTAATTTAAAATTTATTTTAAAATAAAAAGAATGTTATTTACTTGTCATTAACCCTTAATTAACTTATTTGAATAGATTATGATTGTAATTATTGAACTATTCAAATAATTCAAACTATTTACTAGTTTAAATATTTAATTTTAAGTTTGAATTAAATATTACTACTTAATTTATTTGGTAAAAATATTCACACACCACCAATTGTAACTAAAAATGTATTCTAAATAAAAAAAATATATCTACCTATTATTAAAAAAATTTGGTCAAATATTTCTGTTTGGGATTGACGAGTAAAGCTTTCATTCTTTTTCTTCATGCAGGATAAATCTTGTCTAATTGTTCCATTATTGCAGAAGCTAAAATTAATTATATTAAATTAAAATCAATTTATATTGTAGCAAAAAATAATTGAATTAAAAACTTTAAAAATAATTCTTTAAAAGGTTTGCTTATGATTCATAAGTTATGAATTGTCTAGTTATTTATGTACATTAAAAATGTCAGACTTTCAGATAGAACAAATGAAGGGGTCAATGCAAGAATTCTTGCACTTAAGTGCCTAAGTCGCATTTTCAATTAAATTTACATTTTGGCTTCATCTAAGAGTGTTTCATGTAAGGTTTCAGGTGGTATTTTCAAAGTGGCAGAAATATGTGCCCAAGTGCCTTAGTTTGCATTTACTTCAATGGGAGTTTGTATGGTTTTTAACTTATGTGAAAACTCTTGGATGAAGCCACAATAACAATTTAATTGAAAATGTGACTCAGACACTTCTTGCATTGACCCCTTCAAATAAAATAACTATAAAAATACTGTAAAAGATTATCACCCTGTAGTTAAAAATGCTATATTTATGTAAAAAAAAACATAGAAAGCACAAAACATTTGTAATATAATCAAGTTTTGAACTGTATGCTTACAAGTTTTTAAAATGACCTCTTCCAGCTGCAAACATCTTGTAGATACTGCCGAGTTCCAATTCGTGTATTTAGCTTTTACAAATCTTGGGGCTCATAAATGTTATCTTTTATAAAGCCCCAGAGAAAGAAGTCGCACACTGTGATATCGGTTGAACGTGTTGACCATACATGAAGTTCCAAATTGTTGGGCCCTTTACGTCCGATCCACCGATGAGGGGGCTGTTCGTTCAATAACCTCCGCTCCACCAAATGCCAATGTAGTGGGGCCCTGGACCCAGGTCCAGTTTTCGCGTAGCTACATCAAATAATTTTAACAAAAACATACATTTTGACAAAGATTATAGGTATATTTAATATTTTATATAACAGCAACTAGTGTCGAGAAAAAAAACGTTAAAAACTGTTTTGATTGAAAGTTTTGAATCAAAACGCTTTAAAACTATTTAAATTCTATCAAAACTTGCATTAGTTAAACAACCCATAAGCAAAGAGTAAGAGTCTTTACTCTTTGCCATAGGTTTTATTACATAAAAAGAATTTTATTAACTACATGTGTTTTCGGTAAACATAGAGAAAAAAACCGGTACGGTTTATTACACGTATTTTCTTATTTTAAACGCGGTAATGATGCTACAACTAACTCAAACTTGACTAAAAACACCTAATAAAATGTTAAAGCCGAAATTAACAAGTTTACTTACCTAAAACAAAGAAAATTTGGATTATAAAACTTCGTACACAACACTGTCGGCCATTTGTAATTTCTCAAACCGCGACCATCAACGAACAAGTTGGAAAAGACCAATCACAACAAAGTAAGAATCACGTGGTTAATAACTGGGGTTTGTCAAAAACAACTTGGGTTTCAACGCATGCTAGATTTATTTTACTGTTGCCTGTTGTCAAATTCCCCTTATACCCCCCTGATTATTCATATTCAGAATTGCCAACCACATACCTGTTGCCACAATCCATTGTGCCTGTTGCAATATTTGTTTTGAAGTACAAAGGAGCCGTTTGACATAATTATAAATGTCTACATTGACTTAAAAAGGGTTTTGAATTTTATTTGAAACCATTCCAATGCAAATTATTAACCAGCAAGGCAAAATATCATGTTGTTGAATATGTTTTGTGTTGGTGCGTCTGAATCTGTCACTGTCAGTCTGACAAGTTGATTCCCCCTGTGTTCTTTACTGTGCTGTCACTTGAACCATATTTATCAGTGCGAAAATACTTTCCTATTAGAATTATTATTTACAAATGATTTACAACTAAAAATTATGCCGTTAGCAAATTCCGTAGAACCATGGCAAATTCAACACGCCGAAACAGAGGTGGGTAAAACTATTCTTGAAATTGCATTTTTTACCACTTTTAAAAAACCACATTATTTGTGTAGCACGCCCAGCCAAGTTTTTATAATTTATAATAAGTTTATTCATTTGCAGCTTTTGGAGTATCCAGGCCCCTAAGAATAGTGTCTGTACGTAAAATATTTATTGCAACTCACTGTTGTTGCACGAAATGCACTACTTAAAAAGACTCATTATGCATGTAGTAAACAAACCTGAATATTGGTGTATTAACAATTCTAATATCTTGTACCTAGTATTAAATACTTTCCCTGTAAATATTGCTTTGGGTGTATATCCTCACAGCTTGTTAATGTTTAATTAATTAAGGACAAAAATACCTAGGTATATGAAAATTAAAAATATTTTTATAAACTTTTTAATGTATGGGCGTGTTATTTAAACATTAATGTGGTAAAAAATTAAATACTTTATCAGGAATTTTAGGCAAAATTATAAAACAAAATTTCCAATAATAATTGAGATCAAGGACAATTTGAAGTCCTTGGACCACTCCCCAGATTCTTTGAATTTAGATTATAAATTTATTTTATATACATATATGAAGGGGAAAATCCAATATAAAAGTTTAAAAAATATATACAGGGTGTCATGTAATAAGTTGTCATCCCTTCGGGGTTTCACGCCAAAGTACTTACATAACTTTTTCCTCTATCACTTTTGCATTAGTGCTACTGTTTTTAATTAAAAAATCATGAAAATTTAATTTTAAACTTAATTCTTGGACAGCCAAGGTTAATGTTTTTATTTTTTTTCTGAAATTATGAAAATTTTGAACTTTTTACTAAAAAAGATCATTTTAAAAATATTTAATATGGGTTGCTGGTATAGTCGCCGCGTCGAAAGTTTTTCGTTGCGTCATCAATTTCAAATGTAAAAAACCGGCGTATTCAAAGAAACCAGCAGTAATAGCAGTTACAGTAATGTCTTTACTTGGTTTAAAAATTAATGACTCAACGGTAAACATTCGCCGCGGCGAGTATTGCAACTTTCTACCAATGAAAATTTAAGATTGGTATGGGTCATTTCCGTCAGATTTTCCTCAAGTTTTGTGTAGATTTTATATATGCTAGGAAAGCAAAAATCTTAGTTTTGAAGGTTTTACGATAATTAATTACCGAGAAATTAATTATTTTAAATTTTCCCAGGACAAGCTATTTTTTTCTTAACTTTCTAAATAACTCCTTTCCTGTACCTAAATGTTAGTAAAAGTTTGTTTCTAAGGGTAACTTTTTAAGCTGATTTTAAATATGAATTTGTGTGTCTTCTATTGTTTTTGCATGATTGTTGCATTTGCTAAAAAAATTAAAAACATTTTTTTGTCATGTTTGATCAGTTCAACATGTTTTAAATTTTCATGTTTTAAAGATGGTACTTTTTTTTTTAACTTTTATGTGACTAAATACTAGTTGTTTTTCAAAAAATACAGGCGACATGTCAAAAATGATAGGTGACAGATGTCAAAAATGACAGCTAAGGCACATGTACAAACACATGAAACGAAAATACGAAACAAAATAAGCTGACATATCGATGACTTTCTGCCAAAGTATCGCAAGCAACATAACTCAAATTTCGGGAATTGAAAAAATTTTTGTTTTAAAGTCTGTTTTAAACCATATATAACCTATATGTTTTATAACAAGTAAATAGCTATAATTATTATAAGCTAAGTAATTAGGTACTTGTTATAAAACCTTTAGACTATATTTAATTTAAAACAGACAAGAAATTTGGGTTATGTTGCTTGCGATACTTTGGCAAAAGTCATCGATATTACTTGCCATTATTGACAATTTACGTAGCATTCGTAAATAATAGTTATTTATAAGTAAGTTTAAGTGATTTTATTTGTTCGACAATTTTCCTTCTCACAAAATAAAATTAAACTCTCAACACTTACATAAAAAATAACTAGTATAGTCGTCGCGGTAAATGTTTCAAATTGCGTCGGGGCCGAGGATGGGTTGAGCTACAGAGCTGTAAACAATCTGCGTTTAACGGTACCGGGTTCGATTCCCGGTCACAGCCTTGGGTGTTGTAGTTTATTAAACAAAAATAAAAATACATCATGAGCTGGCTAAATAGTCTGGAAAAAGACTAAAAGCAAAAAAAAAAAATTGCGTCATCAATGTCGAATTTCAAAAACCGATTTCTCGACATACGGTTAAAAAACGTGAAATGACTTGCGTCTATATCCCAAACCTACTCCCTGTCAAATGCGCATGCGTTCCGTGGTTTGTCACTGTCAAGTGTTTCTTTAACAAATTTCAAAGTAAAAAGTTATGCAGGTACACTGCATTGTGCCATACCAAACCAACCCAAACTTAACAACCCAACCCAACCGACCCCGCCCCATTGGGCCCCTCCCGCCCCATTGAGCAATAGAGCTGCTGAAAATCCCGCATAAAAAATTTTTATAGGGCCTATGAAACAGCAATTTCTGATACAAACTTTTCAAATTCTATAGGTTTTTAAGAGATAATACTTTTCAACTCTGGTCAATACTAATTAAACTTTATCAGTATTTACGCATCAAGTTATATAATATTTTATGAGTATTTATGAGTTTTTAAGAGACATTACTTTTCAACTCTGGTCAAAACTTATTAAACTATCTGTATTTACGCATCAAGTTTTATCATATTTTATGAGTATTTATGAGTTTTTAAGAGACATTACTTTTCTACTCTGGTCAAAACCTATCAAACTTTATCAGTATTTACGCATCAAGTTATATAATATTTTATGAGTATTTATGAGTTTTTAAGAGACATTACTTTTTAACTCTAGTCAGTAGAGTAGTAGTTATAATATTAAATATAATATACATATTTTATGAGTATGTATAAGTTTTTAAGAGACACTATGGTGTCTTACTTTTAAGCTCTAGTGAAAACTTATCAGTAGGTATTTACCGATCATGTTATAATATTTTATGAGTATTAAAAAAGTTTTAATAAGACACTATATAGGTAATCATAAAACTTTATAATCACTTATCCGATAAATACTCGTACACAGCTGTTACGTGTAAGAGTGTTACACTGTAACTCCAATAAAATATTGATAACATAATGCGTAAATACTCATAAAACTTTATCAGTATTTACGCATCATGTTATCAATATTTTACAGTTTAATACGTAACAGCTGGGTATTATTATTTATTGGATAAGTGAATGAAGGGTATATACCTATTATGTTTTTAAATAATGTAATTTTAATGGTTCCAATTAAATTACACCATATACAACTTTTATAAGTTTTTATGCGGGTTTTTCAACAGGGATATCTAAGCCTTAGATTCTAAGGGCAGGCTGGATTGTGACAATGGGGCGGGGTCGGTTGGGTTGGGTTGTTAAGTTTGGGTTAGTTTGGTATGGCACAATGCAGTGTACCTGCTGCATAACCAAAATGACAGCTAATCGTCATAACCTTGAGGAATACTTTGCTACATTTAGCCTCTAGTGATATTTGTTGATATTTGTCACTACGCGCATGCGCATTTGACAGGGAATAGGTTTGGGATATAGACGCAAGTCGTGAAATGTTAGGTTAGGTAGTCAGTAGCGTATCATTTACAAGGGGTCCGCGCGTGTATTATTGGTGGCCTGATTATCAAACGACATTTCGAGTAAGTAAACTTTGCATTAGTGTTTTTAAAATGAAATGCGTCTAGTTTTTTCCTGTATTAATGTTATACAATTGTTAAGGAACAAATTCTCCTGACAACGCACCGATCACTGTATACCAAGTGGGGACAAACTTCATCCTCGTCGAAACTGTCATCTCCGAGGTGGATGATTAGTTCCGAAACTTCGTCCATTAATCTTTGCCGCTGGAACCATTCCTCAGTAAGGCTATAGCTCTTACCTCTTGGATACAATTTAATGGGAGCAGATGACCTCCATGCTCCAGTCCCCTTTGAAAATAATAAGTTAAACCCAAATCATCGCTGCTGTTTCCCATCTAACCGATTTCCGGGCATTCTGATCAGAATCGTACGGATTTTTGCTAAAATCGAATACTGAAACACTTATTTAATTATAAAAATACCTTATTTGATACAAAAAGACGTTAAAAATGATAGAAATATATAAATGTCAATGTCAAAAACAAATATTAAATGTAAATGAGGAACGCCACTGAACACGTCACAAAAACCTCTCTAACAACAAACGAATGCGCTCCTTGTTTAACACATGTTGCGTGAGTGCGACATGGGAATCACGTTCGTCTTAGATACGAGAATAAATAATTATTATCCTTTGGATTTACGCCATATTTTAAAAATGACGCCCATACAAATTTTAGAACTCTTATTACAAAGAAAATACAGCCAAAGAATTTAGTAGAAATTTTTAATTAATAAGGTCAAAATTGGGGCAATTCTTTGTTATAGAGGACAATCTACCAAAAAAATCAAGTGAACTTATTTGTAAATATAAATTTATTTTTAAATATTTTCTATTTAGGATTTTTTTATTTATTTAAATATAATTTAATTTATTACCTTGTAAACAGTTTTTAAAATACAATTTGTATGTTTTACTTATACAGGTCTTTATTACAACACATTGCTTTTTATATTTTCTTGTAAATTTATAGTTTTGGTATTACATTTCACGATAATATATTAATTAATGTAATAATACTAAATGGATAATAATACTAATGGATAAGTAAAGTATTTATAATGATGGATTCAATGTGGTTTGTTTATATTTATTGGGTCGGATATTCTACGATTATCGGAAATTTTTATTCCGACCGTCAAAAATTGTAATGTGACGGTCGTTCAAGTATTACGCAGATTTACTACAATTATTTACCCCCCTTCCCCCTCTTTAGCAAAAGTAATCAAAGCTCTTACCCACCTCTTTCCCTGCTTACGTAAACATTGGTATATGAATTTTTCTTTTCGTTTTCAAGCATAGACAATGTGTGAGTTGCCATATGTGTAGAAAAATAAAAAACTACTGCTGACGTAATCACCATATAGACCCTCCACCCCCATGTCATCAAAAATAAGCAAAGCAAAGACCCCCAGCCCCCCTATTATAGAACCATTCCATCTTTTAATATGGCATATTAACGGTACAAATGTGGCAAGCTAAAGTTTCTGATATAGGGTGTTAAAGATTCTATAGTGGTTATTTAAATAATTTTTAAATTAAGAGAAGTATTTATTATCGTGGTTTAAATGTGGAAGGTAGGTATATATTTATTAGATAAGGATATTCCACGATAATCAGAAATTGTTATAGGGGCCGTTCAAGTTTTACGTAAGCACTATAATAATAAAAATCTTGAACGACCTTTAGAAATCAAAATATCGATTTGAAATTTTCAGAATCATTATTATTTTTAAATTAAAAAATAATATCGGAACGAGAAAAAAAGTTAAAATAAAAAAATCCAATTTTTGGTTCAAAAGAGTGACCCGGAACGCCCATCACTAGTGGTATACCATCTTTCCAACATATAAAAATGTAAAACATGTGCTCCTAATCAAACATGCCGAAATTCTTAAATTTTTTAGCAAATGCAAAGCTCATGCAAAAACAATTGAAGGTATATAAATTCTGATTACATATTAGAAATTAGCTTAAAAAGTTACCCTTAGAAATAAACTTTTACTTAAATAATTTTTACAGGCTAAGGAGTTATTTAAGTAATTAAGAAAAAAATGACGCATCTTGCGAAAAACTAATTTATTACAAGAATTAATTTCTCGGTAATGAATTATCGTAGATCCTTTAAAATTAAGATTTGTGTTTATCCTAGCTTATAAATAATGTACACAACATTTTAAAAAGACTGTGTGGTGAACTTTTTTCATTGTGTTCGATTTGACGTGAAATGAGTCTTGATTTGCATCGCTCAGATGCACCATTTTTGAGAAAAATGCATTCATAAATCACTCTGTTTAGCAAACGAGTCATTTATAATTTATTAATGCATCTTAAAAGTGGTGCATCTGGGCGATGCAAATCAAGAGTTTAGGAGAAGGCTCTAAATTTTCATAATTACGGAAAAACAATTAAAATATGTATTATCCTAGAAAAAAAATTGTGTCTGTTTTTCTACCTTTAAACTTTAAATTTTACGTCTATTGTTTAATTTTGACAATTATAATTTTAGATAAAAATTCAGGATGTCAACATTACCAAAGTATCCAAAAATTAATTTCTTAAGTTCAGCCCTTTAGGAATACTTTACAAAAATCATTCACCATTCTGTGGGTAAAAGGCATAAGGGGATAAGTCAAAAAAAGCAATTTTTCAATAGAGCCTTTAACGTGTTCGAATTAATTCAGGAAATATATTTATGTTTAGCGGGTATACGCTTTTGTTAGCACCGGCCTCGGTGGTGTAGTGGTCAGAGCTCCTGGGTACGCCTCTCGAGCAGTTTGGTTTTAAGCGAGGTTTGAGTACCGTACATCAAGCTGCGCGAATAGTCCACGATATCAAGAATGGCTTTAACGATGGTAAAAACACCGTTATGGCACTTCTTGACATCGAAAAGGCATTCGACACGGTTTGGCTGGACGGATTCATCCATAAGCTCTCTACTTTCCAAATTCATCAGCTTGTTAATTTCCTACCTTTACGGCAGATCTTTTCAGACTGTCGTAAACGGTTCAAAATCGTCGGTCCAGCGTATAGGCGCAGGTGTTCCGCAGGGTACGGTGCTAGCGCCAAAGCTCTACACCATGTACACTGCGGATATGCCGAAAACGCCACAGGCCAATCTTGGTTTATACGCTGACGACATCACCCTTTATTCAACATCGTTCAGTTCTTCAGTTGCCAACGAGCAACTGAAGATATTCATTGTTCGTACTATTGTGCCGTACCTCCAGAAATGGAAGGTAAAGATCAACTCGGGCAAAACCGAGTTGATCAACTTCACGGTCAAGTTTACGAACAATAAAATCTTCTCGCCGTTATCCATAGAGAACCACACTGCAGTTTCTAGGCGCTCTGTAAAATACCTCGGTATTATCCTGGACAGAAGACTGAGATTCGTCCCCCATATTACTTCTCTCAAGTCCAGACTCTCTCAAGCTCTTAAAGCGATATATCCCCTTATCATCAAAAACTCTGTCAATCGAAAACAAAATTACACTCTACAAATCCTGCATCAGACCGGTTCTTACCTATGGTTGTCCGGTATGGTGCAGCGCATCTAACACACAATACATAGCTTTGCAGCGACTGCAAAATAAAGCGCTTCGGCACATCACCAACTCGGGCAGATATACCCCTATTGACGACATGCATGAAACAGCAAGCCTGCCTTATCTAAAAGAGTATGTCATGGATCAGGCAAATAAATTCTACACTAAGAAACTACACCGACACCCGTTAACACGCCATATAACTACGCTCAGACAACACCACAATGCGCGCTATAAACATGGCCTGATCTATGGCAGATTGCCGATATTTCGCGACCCCCCGGTGCATCACTGACGCCGCGGTAGCTTAACCTTCAGAACAATACGCGACGTGGGAGATGTCTGATGATTTAGGACTTTAGGGTTCTCGACCTTGAGACATCTCCAACCAGACTTTCAACATCCCCTTCAAATCCAACCGTAGTACCATGGTGCTGCAGGTCTTTTTCTAAATTCTTTTCTATCTTTTGTGTATTTTTTCCAAATTTTTTAAGAGGGTTTTTTCAATTATTTTTCCCTCGAAATCATTCTTTTAACTCTTTAACATTATCATTCTTTTTCCCCCAATTTTTCTAGACTTTTTATTCTTCTACCCGGATCAAGCTGGCCTCACATTCGCTCTGCGAGAAAAGGCCAGACAAGCTCCATGCTAATAAAAAGGACTTAATACAAGGGACTAAGACCGTCGGAGGACTGCGCTGCTACCACCCGTACCACGCATCTTCACCGCAGGGAGGCTCAAGAGGTGGAACCACACTTCCACGCGCCTCTTTACAGCCAACCACATCACCACATTGCGGCCTTTATTATTTACCCTTTTTATGTTTTGTAATTATTTTAATTGAGAAATATATTGATTTTGATTTGATTTGATTTGAGAGGTCGTGGGTTCGAATCCCACTTGGGTATGGTTGTTTATTTGTGTTTGTCCATTGTGTATAGTCCTTCGGAGGGGACTTTAAGCCGTCGGTCCGTTCCTACCCCTAACCCGCACAAGCCATTCAGTTGGCTTATGGGACATCTTAGTTTGGATGTAAGGGTGTAACTAAAAGAGCACTTTAACTTTACTTTATATGACATGTGCTAACAAAAGGGTATACCCGCTAACCATAAATATATTTCCTGAATTAATGCGAATACATTTAAGGCTCTACTGAAAAATTGATCATTTTGACTTATCCCCTTATACCTTTTACCCACAGCATTATTCACCTCTTCAGGGGACCAAAATTCTGTCAAGGAGAATTTTTTGATAGTTTATTAAACAAACAAGTGTTTTTTATGCAGATTGCACTGTTTGGCTTTGGCCCCCTAATTTTGGGATACACTGTATTTTATGAAAGTAGAGATAATTTTAATAATAAACAGTAACTTTTGTGGACAGGACATGAGAAATGCTGACAATTAAGAAAATTCCTACCGAATATTCAGCTCCTTTTCTAGGTTTGATCGAAATAGTAACCGAAACTTATGTAGTTATGTTAAAATTTACTTACTTAAAATAAGAAATAAGATAAAAAGTTAAAACTGTGTAAAGTAATGGTTACGTTCATGTTCATGAAAATAAGACTTAAGATAAATAACTTTTAACTTTGGTTCTTATTTTTGCTTATAAAATTGCGCAAAGGACAAAATTGGTAAGTGAATTGGTTTTATGGGTTTTATGTGCTGGCCATGAAAATCATGGTGTTGGAGATCGCGTTGAGTGTCGCTGTCGATTGTTTACGTTTATAGCCAAAATATAATCCACTATAATAAAATATAATTGTGTGAAACATTTTTTATTTCTTATGTTATCAGCATGAACGATTAATCGCGATCTTATTTCGTATTTCTTATACCTTATTTCTTATTTTTTATTTTAAAGGAGCATGAATACGCCTTTAGGTACTACAAAATCATTTATAAAGGAGACACGCACCTTAGTTTAGGCCGAGCCGAAGTTTCGGCTAATTTTTAATATATTATAATTTATTCATTAACCCTCAGGTTAAGAAACGATGGGTTAAAGAGTTTTTGTTTTAAAAGACACAAGTCACTTGAAACTACATAAAATTTGCGATTTACCTGCCATAGCCAATATGTGCAAACTGAACGTTGCACAGTTTTTTTACATGCGATGGTGTGCATACAGGGCGGGATTAAGACAATTTGTTGCCCTAGGCTAGGCGGGGTAGCAGTGCATTGTCGGCACGCGCTGCGGTATAGGCGACATCCATCAAAGAATAAAAAAATATTCATATTTCCGATTTTGTTATTAAAATAAAAAAGGTTACTTTAATAGTTATTAGTAACTGCTTTTTTACTTGTACCATGGTTAACCATGCATGGAATACCATGGTATCACAAAATTTAACAGCTAATTCTTATGTAAAATTGTCCCGTGAATCCGAAAACACAGTCAAAAATAAAGTGGAGCATTTTTTGAGATATAGTCAATTACATATTAAATGGAAAATTGAATATATCTCAAAAAACTGTTCTACTTTTTTAACTGGTATGCAATTGTTTTATTCTGCACGTAGTTGCGTACACAAAATAGAGTTTGTATTGAGCAATCGAATAATAATCTCAAAAATTAACATTAAGTCGATATTAACTTTATGTTAATATTAAGAAAATACAACATACGAGTATACGAGTATAATAATAACGCAACAATTCTGTAATGATAAGGATTTGTAAACTAAGTTAAAAATTTAATAAATATATTATTGGAATTACCATTTTTTTAATGTTTTTTAAACGTTGATTATATGCATAACATAACTTTATGCGTATTTTCAAAAATAACATTAGGTATAATGCAATAATAATCCAACGTTAAACACTACAAATAACGTTAATATTGAGCAAATATCAATTTATACAATTGATATATTTACATACGGCTTTAATCATATCCCTACAAATGGCCAAATATTGAGATATAGCAAGATTTTTATGCTGACTGGCTAAAATTAAATTTGATACTTGTCTGTCTGGGCGTGTAGCAAAAAATGTAACCATTTAGGACATATGACGCGCTCCGAGAAAACGATCCTTCCAAAAATTAAATTTTACAGAATAAGCAATTGAACTTTGCGCAGCATAAGCGTTTGTGTAGTAACGCTCGTCTTCGGAAGTTTGTAGCATTGTTATTTTTTGACATCATTATTGGACTTTTCTAAAGATCATCTACCAATCTTCTCTAAACAATCATTATCTGTTACTTAATTTAAAACCTAGTTTGTTATTCACATTACACCGTTGTAATTTATAAAACGTTGTTACAATCCCATACGAACATCATGTCGTGATTTTCACAAATTTTATTCCTACCGCAAAAAATATTGAATGTATTTAACCACAAAAACTGTTGATTCAATATATAAGTAGGTATACTTTTTTTCTCAATGTACAAATGTGGCGCAAAAATAAATATCCAAACACCGATGGCATAAAAAATCACGACATGATTTTTTATGCTATCGGTGTTTGGGCATAAAAAATCAGGACATGATTTTTTATGCCATCGGTGCACCGACATGTTTGGATATTTATTTTTGCGCCACATTCGTAAGTTGAAAGAAAAAGTATGTTAACAATTGAACAATTGAACAGTTTTTGCGGTTAAATACATTTAATATTTTCTTGGATGTAAATTAACTATTAATTTAAATCCAAAAAAATATTGAATGTATTTAACCACAAAAACTGATGATTCAATATATATGTATACTTTTTTGTATAGGTATACTTTTTCTCTCAATGTACGAATGTGGCGCAAAAATAAATATCCAAACACCGATGGCATAAAAAATCACTACATGATTTTTATGCCATCGGTGTTTGGTCATAAAAAATCACGACATGATTTTTTATGCCATCGGTGTTTGGATATTCATTTTTGCGACGCATTCGTACATTGAAAGTAAAGGTATGTTAACAATTGAATCAACAGTTTAACATTCAATATTTTCTTGGATTTAAATTAACTATATATTGTTAACTTAAATCCAAGAAAATATTAAATGTATTTAACCGCAAAAACTGTTGTTTCAACATAATTTTTCTCTTAGTGTACGAACGTGGCGCAAAAATGATTATCCAAACACCGTTGGCATAAGAAATCACGACATGATTTTTTGTGCCATCGGTCAATCGCAAACAGCGACATGTTTTTCATTTCTCATGCAGTGACATCCGGATGATGTCCGTATGAGTAAAATTTGTGGAAATCACGACTTGACGTTCGTATGATTTTCATTTATCACGCGGTGACTTCCGTATGATATCAGTATGAATAAAATTTGTGAAAATCACGAATGTTGTCCGGGATGTTAGGTTATAACCTAAAACTAACAAATTTTAAAAATTCCGCATTATCACCCTGTATGAAAACAATTTTACTTGTCATTATTTTAAAAATTACTTTCAGTCCCAATCAGGAGATACAGATGAGGCTGGAGCCAATGAAGATACTGTTTCAAATGAGGAGGAACATGAAATTGAACTGGGAGAGGTAAACCTTATAACTTATTTTTGTTTTGTTTTGAGTTTATAAGCGGTTGAACTTTATTTGAGTCTAGTAATTGTAATGTTTTATATACTTTTGTTTTTTATATTTGTATTGCCAAAGGGTTTAACTGTTCCAATATTTTTTAAGCTTGTTCGGAATGGCCTTGACAAAGCAGACCCCTCTCAATTTGAACTACTCAAAGTTCTCGGCGAGGGATCTTTTGGGAAGGTATTTCTGGTTCGAAAAGTGGTGGGAAACGACGCCGGGACACTGTATGCAATGAAAGTACTTCGCAAGGCAACCCTGAAAGTACGCGATCGTCATCGCACAAAACTGGAAAGAAACATACTAGTGGACGTGGAGCACCCGTTCATTGTCAGGCTCCATTATGCATTCCAAACCACTGGAAAATTGTATTTAATCTTAGATTTTCTAAGGGGAGGAGATTTGTTTTCTAGATTGTACAAAGAAGTAAGTGCTTGTTTTAATTTAATTTTGGAATAGTGAGAAAAAGTTGCGTTTTGACAATACAAAGAAAGTGATTATTTTCGAATTTTTTTTTCAATTTGTCTTTTTTTGAGCTCACGTCATTTCTGACTTAACGCTCATTGAGGTTGGTGGCGTCGCTTAATCAGTAGCGGTTTATTGTTTCAAACTTAATATATTTTAATTTTTTTGCAAGAAAATAGTTATGATGTATGTGACTTGTCCATTATAGCATTTTATGTATCAGCTGCATGCTAATAAAATTCCTCTTAGACATATTGATGGACAAACAATTGGTCCTAAAGCAATTTCATATCCATAGGGAAAGCGAATACTGGACTGTGAAACTTTACTGATTGCAAAGTAACTAAATATTGACTGTATGCCACCTCCTGTGACTTGTACTGAACTCAGTGCAGATTAAAACTACTTATACGAAATCTGTAAAGGAATTTCCTCAGGCGTCTGTTCCAAAGACTTAATAAATTGAATTGAATGGCAAACTTTTTGAAAATCATATCTTACGCCTGTATATTGGCACAAAAAATCCCAATACAAATTTATATGAGTAAGCTCCCATGTGGTTTCTAATAAAATTTAATTCATTGTTTAAACTCGGAGCAAAGCATGTTTTTTAAACTATTAAGGTGAGCGGATATTTAAACCAAGAGTTATTATTGATTATTGACCCTGTGATCCAGCGAAATTCATAATTTTCACATCCTTTGTGTATGTTATGCGATTCTTAAAAATATTGTTGCTCTTATAAATGCGAAAAATAAAGATAATCAACATAATATTCGGATTTTCACATTACCAAAACTTAACTTTGACGCTGATCATCGGTGACTACATCTATTTGATCAACTAAAAGGAAAATGAGATTACCTGTTATTAATTGTTTCGACCTTTACTTGATGAAACTCCATATTAACTATGTAGATATAAAAACAATTTTGTTGTAAAGTTTCACGAAATTTATTAAATTTTGACAGCTGTTTCGCTACACAGTAGCTTCTTCAGAATTCTGAAGAAGCTACTGTGTAGCGAAACAGCTGTCAAAATTTAATAAATTTCGTGAAACTTTACAACAAAATTGTTTTTATATCTACATAGATTACCTGTTCTTCATGAGCGCAGTAAATATAAATATTTTCTTTTATTTGTCAAATTAACAAATTGCAGACTTAAAAAAATATTAAATTTTTTAACCCCCCTGTAGAGGGTAAAAAATCAAGTTGACAAAAAAATTAACAATAAACATTTTCTTTGTATTACCAAAACGGAACCTTTTCTCACTATTTCAAATTAAAATTCCAAAACTTTTAAAATTAGGCTCACCTTAATATAGTGTCCAAAGTTTTCTGCTCACCATTGCTAACTCCGTTAATATTGGGGCTACAAAGTTGGTTTAACTGGCAAATTGATTGATTTTTTCTTTCTCATTGAAATGGCGAAAACAGAAAAAAAATAAATGTTCTGTTTCCGAAATATTCACAAAAATATATTTTTTTAATGGAACATCAGATTCTGTATATTTTTATATATTTGAAAGAGAATTTAATTTGGAGCAAAAAAATATTATTGCATAACTTGAACTTTCTAATTTAAGCTTTATTATTGTTAACGCTTACTACCAAAGTATTTCCTAGGCTGTTAAAATAATTTAAACAAATCAGGTGATGTTTTTTACATCCTAGTCTGTAAAAACACGTTAGGGTCAATAACAAAATTCGAGAATCTTATACATTATTTAATTAAATGCTTAAAAATAAACCTCGTACTCAGGCGATAATATGTGCTCTCTCTGCCTGGTCTATTATGTACTATCTGTCTTAAATTAAATTGTTTTAAAATATGTAGAAATATACAGGGTGCTCCATTTAAAAACTCTATTATTTTTGTGAATATTTCGGAAACCTGACGTTCAACTGTTTTTCTCTTTTAAACATTTTAATCAGGAGAAAAAAAGATACAAATTTGCGTATTTAACCGACTGTAGCTCCGATAATAACGGAATTAGAAATGGTAGACATGCCGCGAGACACGTGACGTATTGTCTCGTCTCGTCTCGAAGCCATTTTGTCTCATTTCGAGAGAATTTTGTCTAGAATTTCGACAAGGCAAGACGAGACATCTCGAAAAATTTTAATGACTTAAAATGCTTCAAAAGAATGATAATAATAGCATTTAAATTTTATTAACTGTTTTATAACTTTATATGCGCCTATAAATTGTTATGCTTTTTTACGTTCTTCCCATCTTAAAGGCACAATGGTGGCCCAAAGTTCAGCAAGCTTTACATAAACTCAATTTATAGTGGTAGTTTCCGGAGGGATTTTGTAGTAACTATGTATATTTATAAAAAACAGTCAAAAAGATGTGCTGTTGAACGAACTCGAGCGGTCTTAAGTACCTAAGCATAATAAAAGTCTTAAAGAAACATAGCAGCGTACTAACCGACCAAGCCCTATTTATGAATCCCAATTAAATGGGGGTATTACTAAATCCCTGGTTGAGGGGGATTCCAGATTTTACTTAGTTTTGGGTCAGTCTTATGTCCCTCCTTGTCACGCGCACTTCACTAAACTAAATCGGGCGTATGACCCAGCCCGGCGACAAAATTCTGGAAAGGGCCTTAACCATTGAAACGACACGGCCTCCTAAGAGAAATTACCAGCTGGGGTAAAAATTCGTATCCACCAAACATAGGTAATGCTGTGCAGTTGCGGAATACTTATGAGAACTGAAAGATGGTAAAAATAACTCTGGGAGATCAGTGAAAGGCGATGCCATACGATCTTATACTCAAACTATATATATTTATAAATTTTATTTGTTTTTAATAATTCATAAGGTAAGGTTATTAATTATTATTTACCTAAAGGGTCTTTTTTCACAAAAATAAATATTTCTGCTGATGAGGCCGGACCAAGTGAATTAAAAAAATGAAAAAAATTATTACTGCAGTTTTTAAGATTTATGGAGCAAAAGTGATAAATACAAAAACTGGCTTCTTAAAAATGATAAAATAAGTGCAAAATGTAAAAACGGTAGACTGGAAAACAAAAACCATAAAACCAAAACAATTCGGGACGAGACAAGATAAGGGCCTTATCTCGTCTTGTCTCGACTTTGTCTCGTCTGGTCTCGAAAATTTGTATCTCGTCGTTTCACAGCAACTCTAAGCAATGGTTAGCAGATAACCCTATTTAAAATGCCCTATAGAACCCATATTGATCCAGATAAGGAAACTAATATGGATTTATATGGTTCTATTATAGAACTTCTATATGTCCTATATGGAACGACCTGGTTTACACTTTGGAATCTATATGGTTTAATATGGAATTTCATTTTAAAATGTACAACCTAGGGATTTTTATATGGATTTATCTGGTTTCTGTTTTATGTGTCTTTCCATATAGGTTTCCCTATATGGTTGAATATGGAATTCCATTTTAAAATGTATATATATATTTAAACGAAAATTGCATATTAAACCATATAGATTCCCCTATATGGTTAAATATGGATCTATATGGTAATAATTTTTTCACACCCAAACCATATTGGGCCAGATAGAGCAATATGAACCTAAATGGCAATCCATATAGAAATCACTTTTTCTTACTACCTCGACTCAAAATACGTTGTTTCGTCCCCGATTCCACGGCAGAAAGTTTACGTTTTATGCATTGGTCAAGCTATACGCGCACACTCTAATAGCGGGAGTAAATTTTTTAGTCGTGTGCTTAACATTTAAATTTCGTACTGCCAACATGAGAAACACAAAAATATGACAGTTTTAAACCATAATTTTGCAATTATAACAACAAATAAACAATTTATGTTTTTACTTTTTATGTTGTTTTAAGTGTTTAATGGTACTTTTATTTGTTATAAAGTAGTAATTTGTTAATTAAAATACAACCTTTTATTTTTACTGTATTGGCACCACTGAATTCACGGCCTACTGTTATTTATTTATCAAGCTCTTCAAATGAAGATAGGTACATAAATACACATTTAATTTTTTCCCGTATTTTCGGCCGGGTTGGTGTGATGGGCACGGGGTGGGGGTACCCCATACTCATGCAAACGGCAGTAACCCAAGGCGATTCGAAGAATCGCGCGAACTAAATTTAAATATTGACAGCGCAAGCAGTGTTGTCAAGTTTGGCCAAAAGAAGTGATCGTCTAGAAAATAGAAAAGGAGACCCTACGTTGTGTTATTTTAGTTCGCTTCTAGATAGGTGGAGTAGCCAATGAGAGGAGACCAGATCAGGTAATAAAACACAATAAGTATGGTTGTATGTTTTCTCTATTCATTGTTTGTTTACAATGGAGTTTTTACAAAGGTTTGGTTGACGGTAGTTAGCGTTTTATGTATTGCAGTGTTTATTGAATATTGGTTTTTTAGTTAGCGTTTGTTATTTGGACGTTGTCATACCAAGCGTTAATAAAGCAGATTTTTAAAATGTTACAAATACAATTTACCCCTCCCAACAATCCAACATGTTATAAAATGAATATTATTGAATGCAAACCGTTTTGTCTAGTGTATTGAAACCTTTTATAGCTATCTAAACATATTCCGCTACAGTGTACATAATAAATGCATAGTTTCCATATTACATATTACAGTATGACCCCTTTGTCGGTTAGGAACTCTATTGGCGAGCTCTAGTTTTGTGAAGAGATTAGATTAAATTAGATTACCTTATTTAATAATAATAATACCTCCTATAACCCTCTTCCCTATCGCGAGCAGGCACAATACATCAGACAAACATTTTTCACGCCCGTCCGCCATCTTACGGAGCAAAGAGACGCGTAACTTACTCTCGGCTAAATATCCCCAAAACACAACAAATCTACATTATTAAACTTAGTTAAAATATACAACCACCTTAGTTCGTTAATTTAAACAAGGTAAAGGATCTTTTTAGCTTACCTACAAGGTTTATTTCACAACACGAAAACCCACGACTCACTCGGACGATCCGTCACCTTCACCTGTTGCTTCCCATCTGTCGCTCGACCAGTTTTTGATCCCCACCCAACCTAAGGCGACAGGGCCGGCTTTAGCGCGCTCGGTTAAACAGGACCCCATTTGAAATATTCATAAAATACCAAACCGTACAACCCAAGTAATTATACGTTATATAATTCAAGTATTTTTAAGAAAGGGCAACGCTGCATTATTTTAAAAACTTAACATTAATTTAAATGTCTAATTTCGAATAGGTAGGATGCTTTACGTGTAGATGTATTCTTGGTTGCGTTTTCTCGTTTGACGGAGGGCGGGTCAACACAGACGCCCCTTTGAAAGATGGCGAAGAGGCTGTAGGAATCTTGGTCATCCTTTCAACTTCAACAGTTGAACCCGCTGGGCCGACGAGGTCCGGTAGTAGGTGTCTTTATCTTACTGCCATTCAGTTCCTCAGGTTGCCGCTCCCAAAGGACATCACAGTGTACATGTAAACAGAGAACAGAGAGTGATGAGTACAATGCATAAATAAATACAATACAAACATTCTACAAAGCCACTACATTTATTTAGTTAGTACTACGGTATATTTTCGACAGCTTGGGTAAAGTTATTATTTGTTAGAATTAAGTTGTTAGTAACCAACCCCAAGGGTAACTGAAGCAGCGTATTTCTGAGACCAACCTCACCCTTCGCCCCTTTCGATCGAAACCAGCAAGAACAAAAAAAATTTACACAAACCACTCAATGGCTATTTGGTATCCCGCTGAAACCAGCAACCAGTCCTGCATACTAGTCAAAGAAACAAACAACCACTGGATTCCTAAGACTTCGAATTTTGGTGGTACACTGCCGCCCCTAAGGTGGATCACAAACTATCATACTCTAAAAATTTAAACATTATAGTATGAAGGAGCGACTCTTTGACTTGTTGAAAAAATCCACATAACCTCTGTGGGTACGTTAGGTACTAAGAGAAGTAAATAAAAGCACGACCGTATTTATAAAAACTTTAACTGATTTATTTAAAAATAAAGATACTAAAAATTATTGTAACAAAGATGTTGTCGCGGAGAGGTCAAAAACCGATCTGTCCCTTTTACAAAGTTCAAAAAGGGAAAGTAGGTAGTTTTGGGATTCTACAAAAATAGCAAGGCACTTGACTTCTCTGTTGAATAAGAACCGGGGAGTCAAGTGTCGAGGTCCAGGTATAAAAAGAAATGACATTATGTATATCTTGCTACATACAACTTAAAACTTAAAAACCTTAAATAATATTTGAATTTACAAAATGAAGCGAATAAAAATAAGTATAAAGAGTATAAGTATAAAGAGTTTAAGTATAAAGAGTTTAAGTATAAAGAGTATAAAAACATTGAAATTATAAAATAATTGTAGAAATATTAAAGGTGTATCACCACACCTCCAAAACCAACAATACCAAAAATACGACTACGAGAAAAAAATATCAGACAGCTTTGGGATTTATGGAAGTTGCACTCTAGACTTAAGAAAACAATACCTTGTAGGTAAACTTTTTAAAATATCTTAAACTTATTACAAAAACAACTGTTGTTAGATTAAATGATAGTTGGTCTGTCCGCCCTCAACCTTTCAAACCCAGACGTAAGTTGAAACAAAAGATTTTTTTTTGAAGTTATTGTGTAGACCACAAAAAATGTCATCAAAAAAATTGTAAACATAAAAGAGAAAGAAAAAGGAAGAGTTGTTTGATTGTTAGAAGTTCCTGCGATTCTTCTGAGCGCCTAAAAACAATAAAGTGTCAGCTCGCCCCTACTTAACCGACCCCTCGTCAGCGGCAGCACTCCGTTCTTAAAAGCAGAGCAACCTCGGTAGGAAACCAGAAAATATAATAAGAATGGGTTAAGGACAACACCAAACACTCTAGGTATAATAACCAATGATTGATTAACTATAGTTATATAGTCGCTTTGGAAAGTGAAAGTTTTTTTTTAAATGATTTTTCAAAACAAACAACTTTGTTCATAGAATATCCAGTTGCGCCCCTAGTACTTAAATTAGCTGCCCTTTTAAATGATTTAACTGCGTTTTGTGTAGGTCACCTTCAAAACATGTTTTGAAGCTAGCTGCAAAAGAATATGTAGCCACAATCAAGCCCTTGCTGAAATGGAAAGTAACAAGTCAAAATCAGTAGCGGGCTTTTAAGAAGATTCCACTACTAATAATAAATACGGACTTCAAAGAGTTTCAGTCATATTTTCAATTTTTTCTTTACCAAGCTGAAAATAAAATTGATTAAGACTGACCTACCCAAAACGCCCAACATTTAGAGTCAATAAATACATTTTGACTTGATGACCCTCTCAATTGGACAACGTTACGTTACTCTTTACAGAGCGCAACTCAGCTCAAAGGTGCAGAACTCCCCTCCCAAAAAGTTAAAGCAAATAAAATCTTAGAAAAACTCACCCGCTATTGTCAGCTATCTTCGTGTGGCTGCAAAACGTAGGATCCTAATCACGAGGCAGTCATAGCCAGCAGGAGTAGCAGGATTGGCCTATCTCACAGGATCAGCAGGAGCAAAATGGTCTGCAGGAACAAGAGTGAGCTCAGCAGGATCACTCGCAGAAGTAAGCCCAGCAGGATGTGACATGTACCGCAGGAACATTAGGACCAGCGGGAGCAACAGGGTCTGCAGGAATGAACCAATTATGGCTCGCAGGAATAAGCCCAGTAGGATGGCTCGCAGGGCCCGCATGATCCATAAAGTGTGGCTCGCGGAAGTGCGACCAACAGTAGTGACAATCCCAGCAGGAGAGTCCAGCAGGAAATATGGGCCGCAGGAGTTTTCCAGCAAGCGTCGCATATCCAGCAGTATACCTTTGATACTAGAGTTGCATTTCAACAGGAAACATCTTCCAAACGGTGGGGGGGTAACCTTAAAGAATAAAAGAGCCAACACCCGAACAAGAACAACCAACAATAAACCAAATTACAAAATATAACCTCCTCTCAGGCACCCCAAACCTATCCTCCTATGGAGCGGCCACATTCTGTGCCGCAACCAAGAAAAAATCCAACAAGCTCAGCATAGCTCCGGAAACGACACCGTGCACTGTGTCGAAACCAAAGAAAACCAAGCAAATTCGACAAATCCTGGTCACGGCACCATTCTGTGATGGGCACGGGGTGGGGGTACCCCATACTCATGCAAACGGCAGTAACCCAAGGCGATTCGAAGAATCGCGCGAACTAAATTTAAATATTGACAGCGCAAGCAGTGTTGTCAAGTTTGGCCAAAAGAAGTGATCGTCTAGAAAATAGAAAAGGAGACCCTACGTTGTGTTATTTTAGTTCGCTTCTAGATAGGTGGAGTAGCCAATGAGAGGAGACCAGATCAGGTAATAAAACACAATAAGTATGGTTGTATGTTTTCTCTATTCATTGTTTGTTTACAATGGAGTTTTTACAAAGGTTTGGTTGACGGTAGTTAGCGTTTTATGTATTGCAGTGTTTATTGAATATTGGTTTTTTAGTTAGCGTTTGTTATTTGGACGTTGTCATACCAAGCGTTAATAAAGCAGATTTTTAAAATGTTACAAATACAATTTACCCCTCCCAACAATCCAACATGTTATAAAATGAATATTATTGAATGCAAACCGTTTTGTCTAGTGTATTGAAACCTTTTATAGCTATCTAAACATATTCCGCTACAGTGTACATAATAAATGCATAGTTTCCATATTACATATAACAGTATGACCCCTTTGTCGGTTAGGAACTCTATTGGCGAGCTCTAGTTTTGTGAAGAGATTAGATTAAATTAGATTACCTTATTTAATAATAATAATACCTCCTATAACCCTCTTCCCTATCGCGAGCAGGCACAATACATCAGACAAACATTTTTCACGCCCGTCCGCCATCTTACGGAGCAAAGAGACGCGTAACTTACTCTCGGCTAAATATCCCCAAAACACAACAAATCTACATTATTAAACTTGGTTAAAATATACAACCACCTTAGTTCGTTAATTTAAACAAGGTAAAGGATCTTTTTAGCTTACCTACAAGGTTTATTTCACAACACGAAAACCCACGACTCACTCGGACGATCCGTCACCTTCACCTGTTGCTTCCCATCTGTCGCTCGACCAGTTTTTGATCCCCACCCAACCTAAGGCGACAGGGCCGGCTTTAGCGCGCTCGGTTAAACAGGACCCCATTTGAAATATTCATAAAATACCAAACCGTACAACCCAAGTAATTATACGTTATATAATTCAAGTATTTTTAAGAAAGGGCAACGCTGCATTATTTTAAAAACTTAACATTAATTTAAATGTCTAATTTCGAATAGGTAGGATGCTTTACGTGTAGATGTATTCTTGGTTGCGTTTTCTCGTTTGACGGAGGGCGGGTCAACACATTGGGTTGGGTTGTATTTTCGGCCGAGGTAGTAAGAAAAATAGTATACACTACACGGGCAGAAAGTGTGAGAGCCCTGAACTGCGCGCCATGATGCCCGAGGCGAAGCCAAGGGCATCATGGCGCGCAGTGCAGGAATCTCACACTTTCTGCCCTTGTAGTGTAATATACTATTCTATATGGTTTTCCAGGTATGGAATTCTATCTGGTTCAATAGTGCAATGCCTGTTTCAAATTCCTATATTGAACCAGATAGATTTTAATTTTGTGTTTCTATATGGCATTTTTAATAGGGAACTTTGAAGACATTGTATAACATAACAAAAAATAGTAGAATAGTAGAACAGTTGGAACAATAATTATTATTTCTATTTTATAAGATCGAGCGTGCTAAGAAGTGCACTTTTTCGCATTCTTTTAAAGAAATTTTGTACTTGTTTAACATCAGTTACTTGCAAACTTATACTCTTTGGCTCACTTATTAGGAAACCTTTTAAACTGATTATTTTTTAGGTAATGTTCACTGAAGAAGATGTAAAATTTTATCTTGCCGAGCTGGCTTTAGCATTAAATCACCTACATTCTTTAGGTATAATTTACAGAGATCTAAAACCCGAAAATGTTCTATTAGATTCCGATGGTCACATCGCTCTAACCGATTTCGGTTTGGCAAAACAACCCCTAGAAGAGGGTAAAGCGTATAGTTTTTGTGGAACAGTAAAAACTCCATAACATTTTTATCGGGTTAAATATTTAAAATAATATTTATAGGTCGAATATATGGCTCCTGAAGTGGTAAGCCGCAAAGGTCATTCCTTTGCTGCAGATTGGTGGTCGTTTGGGGTGCTTATGTACGAAATGTTAACTGGAAGTCTCCCTTTTCAAGGTACGGATAGGAGGGATACCATGACTCAAATATTAAAGGCCAAACTTGGCATGCCCGCTCACTTAAGTCCTGAGGCTCAGAGTTTGCTCAGGGTTCTTTTCAAAAGAAATCCTGCCAATAGATTGGGAGCAGGACCTGGCGGCGTAGAAGTAAGTCATTAGCATTAGGTTCTTCTTTTAACTGATAAAAATTGTACAAAATTTACAAACAACAATTGACCCTCTAAGTAAAAAAAAATGTTTTAGGCTAAGTATGTTTTTGCCTATTTTGACCTAAAAAGTATAAATCATAATCAGTAGGGAGGGACTAAGTTATTATTTTATTTTTAGGATTTAAAGAACCATGAATTTTTTGCTACAATAGACTTTGATGCCCTACTTGCCAAAAAAACTAGGCCACCTTTTCAACCTGCTGTTTGTGGTCCAGAAGATGCATATTTTGATTCAGAATTTACTAGTAAAACCCCGAAGGATTCACCTGGAGTACCTGTTAGTGCCAATGCTCATGAACTATTTAGAGGGTAAATAAAGTATAGTCGTCGCGGGGAATGTTTATAATTGCGTCATCAATGTCGAATGTCAAAAACTGATTTCTGGAAATACGTATAAAAAACGTGAAATGTTAGGTTAGGTGATCAGTAGCGTATCATATTCAAGGGGTCACAATAACAATTAAACTTCGTATATTAGACAAAGAATCTTGCCCTTGACAAAGCATTCCTATGCAACTGTCCCGATCACTGTAAACCGTAACCAAGTGGGGACAATTTATTAACAGGTGGAAAAACATATTTATTTATAGAATAAAGGTGTTTATTTTCTCAAAATTGTTTATAATTTTTATATTGTAATGGACACTATGTATTTTATTGTCAATAAATTATTTATATAAATACTGTCGTCAAAGTCATCATCCTCGTCGAAACTGTCGTCTCCGAGGTGGATGATTAGTTCCGAAACTTCGTCCATTATAATAATAATAATAATAATAATTATTCTTTGCCGATGGAACCCTTGCTAAAATCGAATATTTAAACACTAATTTCATTATAAAAATACCTTATTTGATTAAAAAAAACTTAAAAATGATAGAAATACCTATATAAATGTCAATGTCAACTACAAATATTAAATGTTGAGGAGGAACGCCGCTGAGCACGCCACAAAAAAAACCTCTCCAACCTCAAACTAATGCGTTCTGTCCTTGTTTAACACACGCTGCGTGAGCGTGACATCGGACTCACGTTCGTCTTACATCCGAGTGATTGTGCCCTAACCTAGCGGTTCCTTGGATTACATGCGAAAAAGAAAACAACAATTGTAATGTCTGTGCTTGGTTCAGAATTCGATGACGCAATTATAAACATTCCCCGCGACGGCGATGTGGGCCCCTAGGCTGAACTTGTTGCGAAAAAATGACTATTTAATCAACCGGATTTTTAACAAACTTAAAAATAAACGTTTAAGGTTTATTTAATATAGAAAATTTACTCACGTCATTTTTATACAGTATTTAGAATTCATGAGATAATAAAAATTAAATGAAGCATTATTATAATTACGCTACCTTAATGGTATTTAAGATGATTTATTAACATTGCTATAGCATATATATGAACAACTTTATTATACAGTGTATTAAAACGAATAGATACACTTAAATAAAACAAGTGCCAAACCCCGCCTACTGTGGTAGGGATTGAGAATTTATAGGTTTTATTTTTATCGAATTCGTTTGTTTTGTTTTAATGCATTTCTGCAAATAAAAACTAAGTATTGTTTAAAATCCATTAAATGTATTTCTTAAAAACTATACACATTTCCCTACGACAGTGTCGGAACTACTGAACAAACACAGTAAATCAAACTGCATGCCGCGCTGTTGCCATATGCTATTATTGTTTCCTAAAAGGGTTGTTTTTCTTATTTTTTAATATTAAAAGTAAGAAAATTAACTAAATCAAATTATTTTTGACATATTATTAATTTTTTGTTATTTTTAAAGTTTCAAACAATTAAAATTGAACTATTTATTAAATAATTATAATGGTTCTCTTCTGATTTAAAACAACCTGACAACTATGGTTCGTAATTACGAATGGCTTGGTTTAAACCACGCCCAACTAAAGTTTGTTTCTTTTTCTCTGATCAGAATATAATTTGTCATCCTTGTCTCCGCCTTACTTACTTGATTCTATACAGTCTGTATACATTAAAAAAGAAAACAAAGCCTCTGATTTAAGTAGTCTATCTTTCTAAATATGCAAATGTTTAAAATGCAATTTTAAAAATTACATATTGTCATATTGTCTAACTCGAAGCAGAGCAGCAACAGCAGCCCAGCAGATAAGACCTGAAGATGGTACATGAGATTGTACCGAAACGTTGTCAGACATACGGTTCTTTTAAGGACTAAAAACCGACAACACGAAGCATATCCCGGGAAACCATCCACTTTATTAAAATTCACTTTTTAAAAAAAGATTTTGTATTTATTTTGATACATTAAAGTTCTAGCAAGCTTAGTTAAAATATAATGATTATTTTTATGTGTTACATTTTGTTTTTATACTAAATATTATTTTGCTGACTACGTGGGATCGCCGCTTCTTGCTGTATCTCTTGGTAATATGAGAAATATGAATTGTTGGTGTTATCTTTGTATGTGCTGATAAGGTGTTGGTGGATGATATAACAGCTTTCCCTTATAAAGAAAAGTCGATGCTATAGCATTGACTTTTATTAAGATAATTTTTCTGAAAGGTTGATTTCTTCTTGGAAGCAGATTTCTCCAGGGTTGCTGGACGCTTTCTTGATCTTGGTGCTGGAGGAGAGTCATAGTTGGAGTTAGTTACAATAACGGGAGTACGCCTCTTTGGTTTAAATTTATAAAAGCTGTATATTATAATTGAAGAGGCAAGTTTATTTATTTTTTCAATGAGGCATATGTCCCTTATTGCCCCGACCTCTTCAATTAGTAAGTCTTTGTTAACTAAAAGTATCCATTTATCATTGGATACTTTCAACAACAGGGGTTATTGAATATTGGATGGAAACGACGCGACGGTGGTCAACCCAAATAGTCTGAAAAGGGAAATTAATTATTCGTAAAAATGTCTGTCAAAATGTACTTTAGTTCTTTGATTAGTTTTTGGGTTTAATAAAATTGCTGAATTATTAAATAATTCTGTTTGAAATGATCCATTAAATTAATTTTAAAGTTTGTTTTTTATTTGCGATTCCTTTACTAGAACTTTGTCATTTAATGTAAATACCAATGGATTAGGTTGGACTGTTTAGTAAAACCTAATCTTTGCTTTTTTTAAACTTGGGTCTTTGCCCAAGGGCAAGGGCAAGCGCAAGGTTGCTATTTTATAATAATATCCCATGCGATTATTCAAATCACGAACGTATTTTGATATGAGATTCTTTTGGCAATAAAGGGTTTCCGGTGGTCTGATAGAAGTATGGCCGAAAATCAGTTAACACTGGAAAAAGTGAGTTTGATGTCGTAAAGTTCACAAAGGTCTCAGGTGTGTTGTCAAGTTCGCGTCCGAAGTCGCAGTGGATTCTTAAAGTGTTGAAAGTACAAAAGGAGGGTGTTTACTACCGAACTAGCTTTTTATCTTCAAGAGCATATGCTTCTGTAAACTTAGTAAGTTCGTCACGAACTGTTAAGCAGTAATTTCGAGATGGGTATTCGAAGATATCGATTCTTTCGAATGCGGTTTTGGGCGTTTCGGTAACGACAAGTGAAGAGCTGAGATTTTGTCGACAAATTAATGTTTTTTACAGATTTCGCTAAATTTTTCTGTTTTTTGACATGCCTTGCGAGTTGTACTTTTCTTTAATTCTGCGAATTGTTTCGTTAATACCTCTGTCCAATTTTTTTTTCAAAGTGATATTGTTCGAGGGTAATAAAAATTTTGTCCGAATCAGGAGATGTAATTATAGGTTTTGGCATATTTTTAATTTATTATTATTTTATTATTTTTAAAAATTGAGATTCCTGCGCCTGTATTAATAAGAATTTTAAATTGTTTATTTGCGTTGTGGCCATAGTATAGATTTTTTAAACTCATTGTTAGTGAAGGGTTTACATGAAGGTCTGTTCTGGGTTTTTTGTTTTGCGTTTTCAAAATAGGAAAGTTCACGTCGGATACGTTGGTGACCTTCTAACAAATCTTTAGGGTTGCTTGCGCGAACGATCTATTCGCGGATCTAAACCTGTTAAAAGAGTGTTAAGAGCCATTGTCTATTAAATCGGTTTGCGCTTTCTTTTGTTCATTAGATTGATTTTATTTATTAATTTTTGCCTGCATTTTTGCGTTTAAGACTTGAAGTCTGTTAAAGTATGTTAGCGGGGATTCATTTGGTAATTGTCTGAGCCTTTGTACGTCTTTTATAAGGGAGGTTAAGTCGCGTAAATCGCCAAAGTGCAGATTTAAAAGTTGTTTTATTTTTAAGTATGAATTTTGGTTTCGAGAGCTAATTAATTGTGCTGCTTTGCTGCAAAGTTTGTTTTTAATGTGAATTACTAAAAGAAATCTTTGTGTTTCTGTACACATATTGTATGCACAGTCACACGCATTTAGAAAAGTACCGAGAAAGATTTGATCTTTCTCAAATTTTGGCACTATTGAAAATACTTCAGGCAATTTATAATGTTCCATTTCATCTTGTTGTTCTTCTCTTTGTAAATCGTCTGCGTTATCAGGATGTGGGGGTTTGTGTTAGGCATTGTTATTTAGATAACAAAACAGTAAAATATAAAAATAAAACGAGATGATTCAAAATAGTATTTGCAGTAATACACTGCACTGCATTTATTTTTGGTTTTTGGTACGCTGCTTGTCGTATTCTTAAGCTTTCTAACAGGGGCTTCACCAGGTGTTCCTGTTTGTAGAGTGACTGAGTTGGAGCTGAGCGATTTGTTCTTCGTTTTATGGATTGGAATCCTCCACTGGGAGATTTTTCTTGCTCACACAGTGTAACAAATCCTACCGTTGACTGCGCCAACTTGTTGTAATCAATTTATTAAAATTCACTTTTTAAAGAAAGATTTTTTATTTATTATGATACATTAAAGTTCTAGCAAGGTTAGTTAAAATATAATGATTATTTTTATTTTGTTTATATACTAAAAGATTATTTTGCTGACTCCGTGGGATCGCCGCTTCTTGGTGTATCTTGCTTACACTAATGAAACTACTTATAATATCTTTATAATTTTGTTGACCTAAAATTTCACAGCAATGCTGGGTAAACCTAAAGCGTTGAGCTTTTAACATGGAGGAAGCCTGCTTTTAATCAACTTTTCTACTGCTGTTTGTGGCCATAAGTAACAGGTACATTCTTAAGGCAATCTCAATATTAGAAAAACAACCTTTTTTTCTACACAGCAAACGAAAAAATATAGAAGTGTATTGGATGACGCCACGTTTGAATACAGTTTTCTAAACCCTCACCACGGTATAGAGTTGTATTCGTCAGTCGAGCTTTTCAATACTCTCTACAGTATAGAGGTCGTAATTTGACTTTTGAACTAGTATACTAATATATTAATATGAAAATTATTTTATGCTAAAAAAAACTATATACGACATGCTTGTGACTTTTTTCATTTTATTAATTAATTAAGCTGTGTTGAATATTTTTCCTAAAGGAATAATTGTCAATGGGTCATTAATTCATTTGTTCGTAGATGCTATAGTCACGGCCAAATCTGTATGGGTGCACGTCATCAACGGCATATGACGTCAGCGTTAAGGTCTATTCATACGTGCCCAGACACAATCTAACGCTCGTGTATTGTTGACTGTTTATAGCGGTGGGGGCTGTTATTAAGATGGAATTATAACGTCCTTGTTATAATCTTCTGCACTAACTAATTAGGAGTTTGTTACAGGCAAATTTTTATTAAATGTGTTTAAAGAGAAAACAAACGGAGTTTATTACATTTTTATTACATATGCATATAACAAAAAATTCTAAATTATCAGAAACACAAAATATATAAATTACCAGTCGTCCTTGTCATCAGAGCAAACCAGGTCAGAATTGAAGTCTGATTATTTCCCCAATTTTATTATTAAGCCTTAATAATTAAGGGCGCAATGTCTTCGAAATCTAATAACGGCTAGTTGCCAACAAGCCTTATATCATTGTTTGCACAATCCAGGGATAGAATCTTATAAACATAATGTATAATATTATTTATAATAATTTGCAACAAACGATGCTTCCGGACGAAATGTCACAATTACAAAAATACGTCAAATATAAAATGACAGCGACCCATCAATAATATTGAACGGTGCGCGCCAGCCTTAAGCTATTACCAACTGGCACACACAAAAATTACTAAGTGAATGGTTTTATTTTGATAATTTCGTGAAAAAACGTTTTAAAACAAGGAAATTGTTACAGTTCTTGGTAAACAATACGCAAATGAATGATTTCTGTTTAATAACACATCAGAATTACGCCTTAAAAAAGCAAATTTAGGCAGTAACTTTACAATTCAAAGTTGGTAATGCTGACGTCATTATATCTCATTGATGACGTGCACCCATATAGATTTGGCCGTGACTATACAATAACCTGCACTGGTGTGTACTTTTTGATCAACCAGATTTAAATATTGCTGTACTAACATAAAACTACCAGTTACTAAATTATTAAAGTTTAATAGCATATCGATCATTTTTTTAACATAACCTCTGAAATTTTTAATACAAATATAGGTACTTTATATAATACATAAATATACTTTACATCATATCCTCTGTGCTTTACATACCTGAGTTGTTAATTGCCGGCTGTAATACGGTAAATAAAAACCAGACAAAGGAACCAAAGAAAGGAACTATTTTTAACAAAATCATATGCAGAAATAAGAATATTCAAACCACTTGCATCCATCAAAAGATCAAAACTTCTTATAATATTGAATTATAATAGGATTTTAATAAATACATGTTAGTGTTACCAAAACGGTCTATAATCAGAATATGCTATCAGTTTTGGTTGGCATTTTTGTTCGTCCTATAGTATACAGGGATGGTAATGTGCTCTTAGGCCGTTTAATAAATAAGGACAAATGCATTATGAGACGTGGGAGTGGTGGAGTGACGTAAGAGTAGTGGGGCAGGCCAGACCGCGCCGCGCCAGGGCTGGATGCTCCCGTGTACGAGTTTTGGTTCATGCCGCGCATGACGCCACTTGATGAGTAGTTGCCGTGCGAATACACGAATAATAGTAATATTATCAAAGAACATAGAGCTTTCTCTGGACATAGTGCGTTTTTATTAAACTTAATATTGAAGAAAGTGTTATAATATGCTTTTAGTTCTTGATAACATTTAGGGCTGTAGTTTAAGCGTTGGTGTTTTAAATTAAACTTATAGCCACTGTCCAGAAAATGTTTATAGGAAAAAGAAGCGGTCTTAAATTTAATATTGTCTATTCTTTTTGTGGCATTTAATCACTGTTTCCACAAATCAAAGTTTTTCGGGAATCGATTAAATTTAATGTTTTTATTTAAAGGGTTTTTCTTGGACTGGTTGTCTGAATTGCATCCAAATATGCCACACCTCATTTTTATAAATGCAAATGGTACGACACAAACTAAAACACAAACAAAACAAGTTAACGCAACACAAAAACAATAATAAACAAACAGAACAGGTTAACACAACGCAATAACAATAATTTAAACACTGAAAAGTAATTCGAACCTTACCGAAAGCAAAAACAACAAGTTAAACAAAAAATAGAGCAAGTTAACATCCAACAGCATCGCAAAAACAAGAATTTTAGCAGCAGATAATTAAAAAGCACGTTAAAGATTTAAAAACACTCATCAAGTGACGTGTTTAAGCCCCGCCCAACATGCCCACCATCCTATCTTAAGGTGTATGTATCTTGGTGGGATTGTAAAGCAGTTAGAGGAGGGGAAGCAAAACATTGGCGGACGTTTAATTGTTTTGATTTAATCGTTTTAAAATCTTGTTTTGCACGCTTATGGCAGAGGGGAAATAAGTATTTCGTTATCCTATTCGTTCAACAATGGTTGTTTGTCTCTCTTATTTATACGTTTATCTCACTTATTCATACGTTTCATATAGCATGCATCTTTGTTTATTAAACGGCCTAAAAGCCCATTACCATCCCTGTATATACTTAAGTTTGGACCACCGTGAGCCGTAACATGTGATCTTTTTTGTCCTGTAAAATTTCAAAATGTGCATATTTTTTTTGTAGCATCTACTCTGCATTACCATTGTGTTATTGTTGTAAGTTTTGGCACAAGAATGGGTTTGTTATCATCGGCTTTTTTTCAAGCAATCGGTTAAAACTTTATATCCTTTCCATGTGAATCAAATACTTCAGGATCAGGACTCAGGAGCAGTTAATTACTATTTATTTCTACGCACACTGCCGATTGAACAAACTACTAACTCTAAAACTAAAACTATACACAGTAATTTATTTACAGTCTCACCTTCAACTATTGGATATTAATGATGTCTAAATTTTCTTAAACGCTTGCTTGAACCACCATAGAACAAATATATGTACCTCTATGCAGGAGATGACGAGTGCCTTCCTTATATGCGACAGCAACGCCTTTTAGAATTGTGTTTCTTGCTAGTATGCGGAGCGTGTTTTATGTCGCCTTCGCGAAACTTCGGGCTGGAAAACGGTGAAAGATATTCTTGTCAGACTGGTCAAACACCAAAACACCAATGGAAATGATAAATGATGATTATCGTAACCAAACTTTTATACTCTTTATTTTATAAAACAAGAAAGCTGATTTTAAAAATTGACGTGGAATCATTTTCCACCTGGACAGTGGTTGTGGGACCCTTTGTGTTGCGGGCCCATAGGTTGCAGCCTATGTATCCTATGCTTAAATCAGATTTTTGTCATTAATTTTGTTTTAATAATAAACGTTTTCTTTTAGTTTTAGTTTTATTGCACCATGTTTACTAGATACCATGGATACCAACGGTACTAACGGCACCAATGGTACTTACGGTAATAAAATAGATACCCCTATAAAATCAGTAAGGACTTCTGATAGAAACTTTCTAGAGGAATACATTCTTATGGAAAAACTGGGAATTGGTAGTTATAGCGTTTGTAAATTAGCAAAACAAAAATCTACTGGACAACAATATGCTGTTAAGGTAATTTTACTTAATCACTTATAAATGGTATTTTTTTAGAGGTTTAAACTTTAAAATGAAATAAAACACGTTTTCATACTTCATTGGAAAGAAAATTGCATGCCATATGTGTTTAAACTGGGACCCTAGAAGCTAAGGGATACAAGTCACATTTAAAAAAAAGTAGTTATGTACAGAAAAAGATAGTAAATGGTACATTTTTCTTGGTATCCAAGGGATATAACTGAATTCTAAGGTTAGACATCTTAAAAAACAAAGTCATAAAGCAACAAACAATTTTGACTTCAAATTACAAGTGTTTTTTACTTTAAACATGATTATCTCAAAACTAAACAAACTGTACTTGTACCCCTTGGCTTCTAGGGTCCTCAAATATGATTTCGGGCATATGGGCCATGCATGGGCATATGCACAATAGCCCGGTAACGGGAACGGGAATCTTAACATTAAAGGTGGGAGAGACTAAAAAACCATTGTTGATAGATAGGGTTCGCTGAGTCTCTCCCACCTTTACCGTTAAGGTTCCCGTTCACGTTACAATATTTAAGTCCAATAAGATTTTGGCGTCTCAATAATGGCTTCTGAATTGTTTCTACTCCAAATCGGGCATTTTATACACAAATAGGCAAAATTTGGTGTTAAAAATTCCGATCAATCTTGTCTCCGGCCCATTTACGAGCCAGCCACGGCGCCCATATGCCCAAAATCATACTTAAACAAATGACATAAAATAATGTTTCCAGTAAAGCCAATACCATGGACATTCCAATGATTTTTATTTGTTTTATTTATTTTTAAAGTTTAAACCTCTAAAAATATAAATTCAAACCTCTAAAATAATGACATAAGTATTCAGGCCAACCCTGCTTAAAATACCCCATAGAGACCTATACAAAATAATGTATCGGGCGCTACCGGATTCAATATGTGCATTTGTCCATGGTTTTTTCCGGATACGGCCCGATAGAAAATGTATAGGAAATTACCTATAGGCACACCATAACTTTTACATTTTCCCTATTGAGACCGATAGCCAATAGCTGGCCATACACAGACGTTATTGCGCGCGGTTTATCGTGTTATCTGCAAAAACATATGGAAAATCATGTACGTGAGTGAGTATCGCCGCGCGAAATGATAGAACGGGAAGGGATTTCAGACGTGCTTTTCTCTGGAGTGTGGCGTGTCCACACGCCACATTCCGCGTCACGGTTTACCTTTGCTTGGCAAAATTTCACGTTGAAAATTTGTACATGATCACATGCAGTTTCAAACGACTCGATAAATGACACTTTTTGCCCACTCACATACGATTTTTCCTTTGAAACTGATATACCAAGGGCAATCACTTGCTAAATCATTTGAATACTTTATCAAGTGTATGGAAGATGACGCTTTTTTTGCCATGCCGTTCTTTCGTGCATACTAACCGCTACATCCCAACACGCCACGATAAACCGCGTGAAATAACGCCTGTGTATGGCCAGCTAATAACTCAATGAAGGATATATAGGGATATCCCTATAGAGCAACCATAAAACATTTGACATAATTTAATTAAAACCTATGGGGTCCTATAGGGGAAAAAGTAATTTCTACATTTACGTGTATTTTCCCCATTGAAACCGATAGCAAATAAATCAAGGGTGGATATCCCTATAGAACAACCATAAATCTCAACTATGGGTCCTATACAAACCGATACACCCTATAGAAACACCATACATCCCGATACAAATATCTATCGGTTTGAACAGGGTCTCTATGGGGTATTTTAAGCAGGGAATTCACTAACATAACTCGTTAAAGTTAGCCACTAGAATCAGTGGTTATCGGCCAATCCGACAAATCAGGTCGATTAAATATAACGATAACCACTAATTCTAGTGGCTAAAGTTAACGACTCATGTTAGTGAATTGACCTGATTATGTCAAGAAAATGATCACGAGTTAACGCCACAAGCCATAGCTAGGATAGCTGCCCTCATTCATATATTTGTTTTTCAGTATCCTGCTGTTTATGTGTGTTTTAACATAATAATAATAATTTTTTCAACATAATATTTTGTAGATTGTTGAAAAATCTTTATGCGATTGCCGAGAAGAAGTGGAAATTTTGCTCAGATATGGCCAACATCCAGGAATTGTGACACTAAAAAGTGTTTTTGAGGATACAAATAAAATGTATTTGGTATTGCAGTTACTTAAAGGGGGCGATTTGCTAGAATACATGCTAAAAAATAAACGTCTATCAGAGAAAGAATCGGCTGCAATTTTAAAAACACTTGTAACTACAGTTGCCTATTTACATGAAAATGGGGTAGTGCACAGGGATTTGAAACCAGCAAACATTTTGTTTGCATCTGAAGACTGCCTACCTGAAAGCGTTACTATCTGTGATATGGGTTTTGCTAAACAAGTAAGTGTACTTTTGAATGCTTGATTTTGTATACTAAACTTTGCTAAAATATTACAATTCATTTATTTGATACTAAACTTTCTTATAAATGTCAAAATATATTTAAGAATGTCAAAAATAAAATTTAGAATATTAGAATTTGAGACATTTAAATAAAAATATTGGAACTATTCTGATATTAAATGTGAAATCCGAATAATTTAAACTATTTTTAACTTTTGTTGTCATATTTGACACCTGTCATCTGTAACTTTAAACACGTAATTTGTTATTTTTAACATCAGATGTAAAAAAATAACTAATAGATTCTGCTATATTATTTTTTTCATCTGTTTTCTGTCTTTTGTTATATTTGACACCTTATGTTCTGTGTTTGACACCTGTCATCTGTAATTATTGACGGTGGAAGTCGTGTTTTTGTTGGTTTTGTTGATAAATTTACAACGTAGTGAATATCCAAATATTGCAATTAAAATCAAAATAGAAAATGACGTTATACAACAAAAGAATTATTCGAAAATTAAAATAGTTTAAATATTACGGAATATGACCGTTCTAATATCACTTTTTAATGTGGAATTACATTCCGTCTTAAATCGCAATTTTGAGAGGAAAAATTTTTAATTTTATTTTTTATAATTCATTTCATAGTTCATAGTAATATGAAAACCCTAATACTATAGTATTAGACCCTACTTAAATAATTACTAATGCGAGCCGTACACTTTTCATATATTTTTTTGTTTTTGAGGAAAAAGGAATATTAACTTATGTGATTGTCACTTATGTTACTAAAAACGCAAAAATAGATTATTTAAAAAAATCTTAGTTTTACACTCTAAATATAGGTAATAGATTATTTTACAGCTTATATGCTATTTTGTGTTATTTTAAAATAAAAAATAAAAATTACATGTATAAATCAAAAGAACTATTTTCTGTAACCAGAGCTGTTGTAAGTACCAAGAAAAATAGACCAGGGTCGATAATTTTTGAAACCAAAAAAAATAACAGTAGGATGAAACCCATTGGAAAAGGAGAAGAATATAATAAAAATGAAAGGAAAAATAAATTACAGGCGATCTGACTTCGGGAAGTGGGAGGGGGGGGGGTTTAAGGGTAAAAAATGGTTTATCTCGATTTCCGGCAAAACTACAAGTCCTATGGAAAAAAGTTAAATGGCAAAGTTGTAGGTAATAAAAGGATCTACAACTTTTGTAATTACAATTTTTTTACATAACCTCAAAATTTATGTGAAAAATTAAAAAACCAAGTTTTTGGTTTTTTATTTTTATCTTTTTCAAAAAAAAATTTTTTTCCACGAAATTTGTTGAAAACTTACCTTTTTATGTCCCAAATACACTGTAATTTATTTGATTTGAAATATTTATTATTTCGCCTTATTTTGACTTAATATCAAAAAAGCACCCTAATTTTCAATCGAAAATTCTCGCGTCAAAATATCAGCTTTTTTCAAAAAGTCGGTGTGCCTTTTGTTCGTTGAAATCTCTACTTTCTGATGGTGTAAAAAAAATATACATTACTATGGTAAATGTTCTCAGAAAATGCAAAAAATATTATAATGAATAACGAAAAAAACTCGAATTCGAAAATTTATTTTAATCATTATGTACAATTTCATAAAAAAAATGGGATTGTTGCAATTTTTTTTAGTTAAAAAGTTTACTTATTAAATTCTAATAACATTTATGTCAGAAAATCTCATAAAATATAAAAATACATGTAAATCATACTATTGAATTTAGATACTTCATTCTGATTACGTTATTCATTATAATATTTTTTGTATTTTCTGAGAACATTTACCATAGTAATGTATATATTTTTTTACACCATCAGAAAGTAGAGAGTTCATCGAACAAAAAGCACACCGACTTTTTGAAAAAAGCTGATATTTTGACGCGAGAATTTTTGATTGAAAATTAGGGTGCTTTTTTGATATTAAGTCAAAATAAGGCGAAATAATAAATATTTCAAATGAAATAAATTACAGTGTATTTGGGACATAAAAAGGTAAGTTTTCACCAAATTTCGTGGAAAAAATTTTTTTTTGAAAAAGATAAAAATAAAAAACCAAAAACTTGGTTTTTTGAATTTTTCACATAAATTTTAAGGTTATGTGAAAAAATTGTAAATACCAAAGTTGTAGATCTTTTTATTACCTACAACTTTAACATTTAACTTTTTTCCATAGGACTTGTAGTTTTGCCGGAAATCGAGATAAACCATTTTTTACCCTTAAACCCCCCCCCCCCTCCCACTTCCCGAACTCAGATCGCCCGTAATTTATTTTTTCTTTAATTTTTATTATATTCCCCTCCTTTTCCAATGGGTTTCATCCTACTGTTATTTTTTTTCTCTTTTTACCATTTTTAAAGGCTTCTGCACTGGTCTAAAAAGTACTTAGACATCTTAAAAAACAAAGTCATAAAGCAACAAACAATTTTGACTTCAAATTACAAGTGTTTTTTTACTTTAAACATGATTATCTCAAAACTAAACAAACTGTACTTGTACCCCTTGGCTTCTAGGGTCCTCAAATATGATTTCTGGCATATGGGCCATGCATGGGCATATGCACAATAGCCCGGTAACGGGAACGGGAATCTTAACATTAAAGGTGGGAGAGACTAAAAAACCATTGTTGATAGATAGGGTTCGCTGAGTCTCTCCCACCTTTACCGTTAAGGTTCCCGTTCACGTTACAATATTTAAGTCCAATAAGATTTTGGATTTTGTAACCAGAGCTGTTGTAAGTACCAAGAAAAAAGTACTTATATATTAGATACAAGTTTTTTTTAAATACGAATACCAGTATAAGTAAAGAAGGAATTACTTAAATCATCAAGTAGATTTACTTGAATTATCCTAATTTAAGTACAAGTACCATATTTCACGAAAATCAGAGTTTAAGTATATTTACTTAAACTTGCGAACTTGAAATTATATTTAAGTACCCAGATAACATTCGTAAGTTCACCGTGAATGCACGGTGAAAAATATTGCTTCACGCGTGAATTCACGGTTGCTAAAAGATGCGTCCGCGCCTGGAATTCACCGTGAATGCACACGTGAACATATCGTCGTTTATCTGACAAAGAGGCGTAACTCAAAAAAAATCGTTTTTGAGTTATACCAGAATGATCACCAAAATCGACTTTATAATCTCACAAACTGGCGTAGCTCTATAATAAATAGGTACAAATAAAGTTTTAGCATAAATCAGTTTCGGCGTAACTAATATTTTTGCATTTTGTGTGCCGTACAAACTGGCGTAATTCAATTCACACCGTTTTGTTTAAAAATGAGATACGCCTCTTTGTCAGATAAACGACGATATGTCCACCTCTTGGATTCCCCATGAATGCACACATGAAGATGCGTCCGCCCCTTAAATTCACCGTAAATGCACACGTGCTCTAAATTCGCGCGAAAAAAATATAATAAGGGTGAATGTTCAGAAAACTTATTTTCCCCTATAGAATAAAATAAGTTTTCTGAACAAAAAATGTGCATTAACCCTTATTTAAATTTTTTCGTCGAATTTAGAGCACGCATGCGCACTCACTTCGAGCTTCACGTGTGCATTTACGGTGAATTCAAGGGGAGGACGCATCTTCGCTTGCGTATTCACGGTGAATTTAAGGGTATACTCAATTTTTGTTTGCACTTAATTTTATATTGGAAAACAAAATAAAACGTGTAATTTTTTAAAATAACAGATTTTATTATTTGTAATTTATTTCAAATAAAAAATGTTAAATAAAGATGTGACCTAAGTCCAATTGGGCAATTAAACTTAAGGTACAATAGTTTACTGAAATAAAACACAATGTGTTATGTTGTTAAGTTTATTCAGTTTCTACCTCAGAGGTTTTAACCTTAAAAAAATATGAATTATAACATCAATAATGCTAATTAATAATAGATACTTTTCAGTGTAACTTAGATACTTTCTTATAGAAAATTGGGGGAATTCCAGAATGATTAAAAGTAATTACCTAACCTACAACTTGTTGAATTTTCATAATTTTATAGTTTTTATTCATACTTAGAAGTAATTTAGTTACTCAAAAGTATCTTAGTTACTTAAAAGTATCTTAGTTACTCAAAAGTATCTTAGATACTTTCAGGTAGTATCTTAAATACTTTTTAAAGTGTCTTGTAACTAAAGATACTTTTAACTCAAAGTATCTAGTTACCAGAGGTAACTAAGTTATTTTGTTTAAAGTATCTTAAAAAAGTAACTAGATACTTTTCAGAAGTAACTTTCCCAGCTCTGTATGAAATTACAATAATACAAGCACATCTACAGAAAAGTATACTTACTAATTCATCACTGGACAGATCATCAAATGATGAGTCAAATAACTCATCATTTTTTTGTCTTCTTATTTTAGTTATTTTAATTTTATCTTTGTCCTTAAAAATATATAAATTATAACATTAATAATACTAATGTAAAATTACAATGATACAAGCACATCCATAGATAAGTATATATCTTTACCTCAGAGCGAAACTATGTACAACGTTGTGCAAAAATTAAAATTCAATTTGTTTAAATTTAAACCACTTTTTAATATATTAATAAATTATATTTTTAAACTATTTCATAATACTCTTAAAATATAGTTCTTAATTTATAAATGTACAATATTAATTTCAAGCCGGCTTAATATTTTATTTGCAACTTATTGACATATATATATATATATATATATATATATATATATTGGTGTTTGGTAAGCAGTGACTTCCGATAGGTTGACGTGGCGCCCTGACCTCCGGTATTACCAGTTATTTTAAACGTATATATTAGGGTGCGTTTGAAAGAGGGGAAGGTCTACAATTCGGTTGTCAAAAGAGGGGAAGCATTTTGTGAAGAATTAAAATGTATATATTTGGAAGCAACTAATATACGAAATCACTTCCGCATATATATGAAAGAGTTACGGTCACGTCGTACTAACTTCCAG